TCTCCTTTCCCTCCTTTGCAGCAGGCTCAGGCCTCAGGTGCCCTGAGCTCTCCACCTCCCACTGTCATGGTACCAGTGGGAGTTTTAAAGCATCCTGGAGCAGAAGGTAAGAGTGATTCTAGTTTGTTTTTCCTTTCAATTTGGCTGTAGTAAAAAGCTGGTAAGAACAACCTGAACTTCATCCCTTCCAAATACCCTAGTTTGTGCAAGTTGCAATATTCTCGCTCACAACAGGAGATCACGTTTTTAAGGAAAAGTTAAATTTTTAAAGGAAGTTCTTGGTGGATGTTTGGCTTAGGCTACACATGGTGCTGCTACAGGCAGTGGAGCACAGGATGTCTCAAGTTCCTTCCAGCCCACATTCTCCTCTCTGTCTCTCTCCCCCTTTTCCTTTCCTTTTTCTTTACTCAAATTTTCCAGTCAATGTTGCTGTGAGATGTTAAATCCAATCTTTTTTCCTCTCAGTGGCTCAGCCTCGAGAACAAAGGCGTGTTTGGTTTGCTGATGGGATCTTACCCAATGGAGAAGTCGCCGACGCAGCAAAACTGACGGTGGCTGGGACAACGTCCACGGGAACCTTAGCAGTGTCACACGATCCAACAAAGCCTGTGGCGAACAACACTTTAGCAGCAGAAGTAAGGAGGCCTTATGCCATGCAATGTCCAAAATAAAATACTTGCTTTGGTCATGAATATTACAACTAGGGGGATTTCAATAAGACTAATCTGGGAAATCTGTTGCGGCCTGTTTTAATGTATTGTATTGCAAGTGCCTTCACTTTAGCGTTTGCAGAGTGTGGAAATAAGTATGTTTTGGACTGAAATGAGCTATTGTATGGCAGGGTATTAAGCAATGTTTGAGGTCTATGTGCTAGATGGCTTCAAAGTTTTAGGCTGTACAGCTTGTGTATGGAGGATGCTTGCGTAATGCTTGTTTCAAAAAAGCCGAGCCAAGGTCAATATTGTGTTTGAAACAATAGGATTGTCACAGTATGAAGCAGAAGAATATTTTGTTTGACACATTTTCTCCTAAAAAGATTTACACATGAAAATGCAGCTGTAATCTAACAGTTTTAAAAGCACTATACTATTCTGTATGAGAATTGAGATTTTGCAGAGGGTCACAGGAGTGTAGATACTCTCTTTGCTTTTTGAAAGGCAGGTGGGTATGTGTGGTTGTAAAGAAGGGTGATGCAGTCTCTAAGTGGAGGTTCACACACAGTAGTCATCGTTATTATCATCTTTTTAAAGAACCAAGTTACTTGGTATTTCTGATTCCCTGGCAGAGCCAAAACCGCTTCGCTTGCCTGTAGCAATCTAGTCAGCCCTCTCTTACACTTTTGTAATGTTGTCCTTTCTTGTTGTTTGTTTCTTGTAGACTGATAACACTTCAGTATTCTCGGGAAGTATAACTCAGGTTGGCAGTCCTGTTGGCAGTGCAATGAATCTAATTCCTGAAGATGGTCTTCCTCCAATTCTCATCTCCACTGGAGTAAAAGGAGGTGAGAGGAAAACTTGGCAGCTGGCTTTAATGCTTACCATTTGTAGTTAACCCATTGAGTACTACATTTATTTAAAAAAATAAGAATGCTGGCAATATGCTGAAGATCTGAAGAACTTTGCAATGTAAGTACTCATATGGCTAAATGTCTCAACACACAGTTACATCATCCATCGTTATTAATTTCCAGGAAGAGCCCAATTCTGGCAATGAAATTACAGTAAATGGTAAAACAAAAAGCAAAAGGAAAAATAACCTCAGTCCAGAAATAGGTGCTTTTTTTTTTCACTAATCGAACTGTAAGAAATGTTCTACGCAGAGATACATTTTAATTAGCCATATGAATATTCATATTTCCCTTTGAGGAAACTCTTGGAACATTCACTGTCTGAGACATCCCAGAGTACTGAATTTGATGGCACCATTACACGGCTTGGCCTACAGTGAAGTTTTTAGTAATCGTGTTGCCCACTCCCAGAGTATCCAAATGGATAAAGATCAGAAAAAAGAAAGACTAATTTTTGTTCCTTTTTTGTTTCTCTGACAGTTGCTTTCCTCAGTCTGATTCGTGACATGCTTTAATGCATTCCTGAGATTAGCTTATATTTTTTTTTGTTTTTTTATATTTCTATTCATTTTTTTGCTAGCAGAATGTATTTCTGATGTTAAGCAGGAAGTAACCTTTTATTGCATGCTACTGTCAAAAAACAAATATGCAGGCAGCATATCATTTCAAAACAAATCTGTTCTGTTCTGTGTTAGCTGTTCATGTGGGTGCCTAATTATTCAGTGTCTTTCACAAAAAAGAAACAAGGAGTGAACTACTTAAACTCCAGTGTACTTTTCTGCACATAGGCCACACCTTATGAGCACAAAAATTTTATATAGATAACTTCATGTAAATCTTATTTTGCAAACTAAGTTCATTTTCGTTTCATGTGCTGTCACATACTGGATTCTCCTTGCAACATTTTACTTTCAGTATTGCAATTCCATTCAAAAACATTTTTAACATTAGAAACCAGAATTATCTTTCTTTCTAGATACGTATAGCAGAAAAGATGGTACTTTTCTTTCAAAATCTGTTTTCATCAGTGCAATCACTTTTTTGTTAAAGTCTAAATGAAGAATTATAATCACTCAAATCAATGAAAAAATATATTTGTTAGTCATAGGGAGCTAATCATAGGGGAAACTACAGGCATTTCCTGAGTTTTCCGTTGGGATCCATTTTATGAAGGATTTAGACTGTGTCTTTTTTAAATGTTGGTTTATGTAGTGTTACTCCTTTTTCTACATTCTTATTAGTTAACACACTGAAAGGTTAAGTTCTGTGTTGTAGCTATGGACTGTATGCTCTATTTTCAGTCCAGGATTGATGCTGCTGTGCTTTCCTGTCATATAAATAACTTCATTATCATTTGGGATTTCATGTGAAAATGACACATTTGGATTTCTGTTTTTTTTTTTTCCTACAGTAGATTTAAAAAAAAAATAAAAACACTTGATTTATGAAACAAGCTCTACACTTTCGTAAAGGAAGGCGTGTACAGGGATTATCCATGTAAATACTCTTTATGTTTGAATATACCTAAGAAACAAACAGTTGAACTACAATACTTTGGATAAAGCTTTTAAAATGTCAGGCAAAATGCGTCAGAGCCTGACTTACCTGATTCTAACAGAGTTACCAATAAGTTAATGGCTTCACTTGTTTTTTTTTTTTTTTTATAGACTATGCGGTAGAAGAGAGACCTTCTCAGATCTCTGTTATGCAGCAGCTAGAGGATGGTGGCCCTGACCCTCTTGTATTTGTTCTAAATGCTAATTTGCTGTCTATGGTAAAAATCGTAAATTGTAAGTTCTTTTATTAAATAAGGCTGGGGGTGTGTGTGTGCGCGTGGCAGGGAATGCGTATATTATCCCTAGGAATGACAGCATTTTTATTTAATATGATAGTCTCTGAAGATGTACGTGGACTTAAAATTTTGTACTTAGCTATATTAACTTATAAAAGACTCTTTTTGCAGTGCTGTAGGCATGGATGCAGATAATTTTGTATATGAAATATAAGTTAGAGTGATTCTGGTCTCAAAAACTGAGGCTGGAACTCCTGTCTGACTAAGTAAGACAAGCTGTTTTATCACTCATTCTTCCTCTGGTTGCTTACCTCATTTCCCTGTCTCCCTAGTCTAGGGAAGGCACACAGAATCCCATAGTAATAGGCTGGTGCTGTGGTTCTGTTCCTCATACACTTTTCTATGCCGTGCATATGTTTATGTGCACTGTGGGAGGGAGAGGCAAATGGGGAAGCGTATAGGTTGCCTCTCGTTTTAGTAATTCACCTGGTCTCTGGCGGGTAAGAAAACCTTATTTGAAAAATTAAAAAAGACAGTTTTATAGCAAAGTGTGTTGATTCTGTTAAATATTCATATAATAAATTAAAATGTTGCTTATAAATCTGTCGGCATCTGGCTGGGTAGCAGTATGTTTAGAGCTATGTGTGTGTGTATATATATATAAAATATTGTAGTAAATATATTCTCTGTAAGTGAATTGTGAAGAGCATGTTGTTATTATTACCTTCATATGAAGGAAAACACATCTCATCATAACACCTGACATTCAGTTATGCAGAGAGGAATAGAGATCTCCCTCTGAAACTGGTTTAGCTGTCAGGGTTGTGAAATGCACGGCCAATAGTCTGGCTTCGTCCCCTCTCATTGCCCTTCCCGTTTAATCTTATGCTACAGTTTGGGCACAGAAGCTGCTTCAGGTCTGCTCTGTGGTGTTAATCCCAAGATCCGAATGAGAGCTGCAAGGCTGTGGCTCTTCCATAGCTTCAAACCCTGAACTGTTGAGCTGCTTGGGTTGTGCTTGCTTGTAAGGTAGCAGATTTAGAGTGTAATGTGTGTGACAGATTACAAAACCATGCGTGCTGTAAAATTGATTCTTACAAGAGCTGTCTTTCTGTAGTGAAATATAGGCATGTTTTGTGAAATTCTGATTTGATGTGTGTTTTGATGTGTTTTCCTCTGCAGATGTGAACAGGAAGTGCTGGTGTTTCACTACAAAAGGGATGCACGCAGTGGGGCAGTCGGAGATAATAATTCTCTTGCAGTGTTTGCCCGATGAAAAATGTTTGCCCAAGGATATCTTTAACCATTTTGTGCAGCTTTATCGGGATGCCCTAGCAGGTAGGAATGCTTTCTGTTAAAAGACTCAGTTGGTCAGATGATTGTACTGGGCCAGACACTCACATTTCTATTTTTTTTTTTTAATGGCTACTTTTCTTTGAAATAATATAAAAAGAGAGTAAGGATAAAGCTGACAGGTCTAAATTTTTATTGATGGCTGCTATCTACACTGTCTATTATTACTGCTATTACAAACAGAAGTCCTAGTGAGGTGTTGCTAACATGGGGAACGGCTCCAAGGACCTTCCAGCCTTCCTATGGGTGCCAGCACGTGGTCAAGTTTGACATGTAAAGGTCTACATAGATTATTAGAGCAGTTGGTTAATGGCAAGTGTAGTAGGATGTCGAACAGGTCTTCCACTGGAATCCTTCTGTTTTCTTCTGTTTCTTCAGTAGGGGTAGTTTTTCAGAAAGCAAATTTAGAGAATCACAGTGGATCCAATGTTTTCAGTATCCTGAAACCAGGTAGTTCAAAAGTCTGACTCCTTTAGCATGTCTGTTGCCCCATGATGGAGATAATGTTTATCTTGTAAAGTAGTATATAAAAATACCTTTTATGTATATACATATATGTGTGTATAATACGTCTGGAATTGAATTGTGGGTGTTGCAGCAATTATTTCCGGAATACTGTATTTTAGTATCTCGATCACCAGATTGCACTGTGTAAACCTTACATTTTACATTTGTTGGGTAATTGGGCTTTCATTTTTAGCTATTGTTGGACCTTAGAATTCAAAACACATTTCATAATCAGGTGAAAATAAAAACTAATTTTCTGAAGGTGAAGCAACATCACATGCAGTGCAGAACTATACACTGAAAATAATTAAAATAATTACCAAGATTTTTGTGTCATAAAATGTCTTGATACAACAAAGGTCAGCTTGTCCAGAAAGGTAGGCAGGTTCCAAATATGCTGTTATCACATAATCATAATGCAGTTCATACAAGGTGGAAGCAAATGCAATTCCAAACCTCACTTAATTTGCAATACCTTATATTCTAATTATGATGGCATTCAGAGGGAGACAAAAAAAGTATATATATAGATATGCACAAATATAATTCCAGTTTGTGTATATTACAATGCGGCTCTATATAATTACACTTGAGAAATACATAATTTATATCTCCTACATAAGATATTTGGAATTCTTCTTTTAGTGCTCTAGAGGTAGGAATTTGATATCCTATAACTGCAATGGTGCAGAGAGCTGCTTGCTATTGCACAGCTGCTAATCAGAAACCAAATTCAGTGTTTAAGAATTCCACTCTTTAATGCCCTTTTGATAATATTTGCTCTGTGTCATATTTCAGATACTAGTCAGAAACAATTCATCCCCTGAGTTGCTATATGGTGTAATATGAAACAGCACTGAAGCTACCCTAGAACATTGCACCTAGAGAAATTTCCATAACATTCTGTAAGGCCTGCCTGTCAAGATCCATCCTTGCTTGCTTTCCAAGGCCTTGTGTATGAGCGAGAGAAGTATCTCTTACCTTATTTGCAGCTCTGGCTATTTTCAACATTATCCAGCCAGAGAGGCAGGACTGTGGTGCTATAGGGACTTCAGTTTGGAGGCGCTAATACCTCGGAAATGGTTAGCGGTTCGTGTGCTGTTACAGATGCATCCTCGCTTCCAAATTTGTTCAGTTTGGAGGTTCTGCACTTCTTCTGGACCTTACATTGGAGAGATTTAAAGAAAATGAGAAGTCCCTGTAGAAATTGGGGCTATTTGAAGCTCAGATGTCTCTGCGCTGCCCAGAGGTTAGATGTTGCTCGAGGGCAGTCCTGTCCCCTGTGCTGCTCTCGGCCCTTGGCAGAAGGAGCTTCTGGCATGGGCGAGTAGGATGAGCAGAGCCCAGGTTGTCCTTCAGATCCAACTCCCCTTTCAGCATGGATGAGGTTTCGGTCTGTTGCAGTGATGCTCCAGACCTTCATTAGTTTTCATTTTAAGGGAAGTCTTCAACCTCGAGCTGTAATCTCGTGTTAGGGTTTTATAATTGTAAAACAGTGAAGAGAATTTGAAGGAAAAAAGTTTCACTATAGCTTGTATATATGTGAGGCAGCATAAATTGCAAAGTTGTTAATTAAGGCAGGTATTAATTGTTTCTCTTTATTTTTCCTCTGGCCCCTTTGTCATCAAGATCCCTGCTGTGTTGCTTAGTTTGTTTGGAAATTGAAAGCTCGTGGTTTCTGTTGTTGTAGTAATCCCCTGCTTGTCTGTGTCTGTTGGCTGTAAGCCTGGCCAGAGGTCCTCTGAATGGAAATGGAGAACTTCTGTCCACCTGAATGGGTTCTTTGAAGCAGTTGCAGTGTTAATGTAGAGCTGCTAGCTAGGCCTTAGTGCATCGACTTTTCTCTGCTGGACTACAACAAATGCTGTTGTTACTCCTGTAATAAAAATGCAAATCTGGCAGCTGGGTTTATCTCTGTATTTTGGGGGTGCTTCTAGATGAGGATGGAGAGATCTCCATTGTACTTTTAGTATATATTTTTACACAGGCTCTTTTTAATTAAATAAGTTTATGGCTAATACAGAGTGGATCTATAGAGAAGTCCCTGTAGATGTTCTGAATGAGAGCAGGGTGAGTAGATAAAGCACCTATGCAAGAGTCTTCTACCTTAGCTTTCCTGGTATCAACTGTTTCAGGCGAGTCCAGAAAGGGACCAATAGGCAAAGTGTAGTGTTCAGCAGAGGAAGACATCAAAGTGAAGAATCCAGGATAGTATGGACTCAAGAGAAAGTCACATCAGTGGATACAGGCATCATTTTTCTGAAAGACTTCATAAAGCTGCCTTGCATTTAAGGTCAAGAGTAATCCAGTATAATTGAGAACAGAGTAGATACTGATTTCCTGCAAAGCTACTTTAGATGAATTTTGCACCCTTCCGGCACTTTTAAAATAATAATATTAGTTGTCTAGTGATAGGTGCTAGAATTTAATATTGGGAAAGGCACCTTTGTGTTCACTCCAAGATTACACCAAGTTTATCTCCTTTAGAAAGAATGTTGTGATGTTTTGTAAACTAAATTCCAGGCCTTCGAGAAGGACAGTGTTTTTGAGAGTTCTTCTCACAGCTGCACTTTCTCTGTGGAAAAATTGTTGCGCTTGAAACCTGCAACCTTGTAGCGGGTTGGCTTTCACCTTGGTGAGCTGGCAATATTTATTTAAAGTAGCTGTATGGCAGATTTAAGTACTCGTGTCAATACAAATAGAAAGGGTATGAAAGCTTGCTCAGAAACATGAATGTTCAATAGCTTATTAGTGAGATCTTGACTTGGAATATGACAGATAGTAAAGGTTGACAATTCCAGTCAGATATTTTTGGGAGAAGTCCAAGAAGGCTTTTTGACTTGGGCATTTAGGTTGCAAAAGGCACTGGAGCGTCAGGTAGGAAAGTGCCTGTTGTTTGATTCTTCCCATGCTCTCCATGAAGCAGGAGGTGTCATGTCCTTATGGAAGGAGTTGCAGCTCAATTATTTAATCCCAAGAGTTTGTCCTCTTAGGAGTAGGAAGCTCTTGGAGCCTGTGCTGCCGCAGCTGCCCTTGTTTGTGGCTTGTGGTGGCAAAATGCTGAATAGCTGAGTTGCAGATTCCTCTCTTGAGGGTTTCTCTCGGCCTCAAATTTTGTTGTTAAGGCAGCCCAAGTGCATGAGCCTTAAACTCCATCTCCTGAAACTGGAAAAATCAGTAGTCATCCCCTTCTGCTGCAGCACTTGGCATCTGTCACAAGGGGAGACGTTTGACTGCTTTGTCACGGCACCGGGCAGAGCTTTGCGGCACCAGCCATGCAGTCGTGTGCAGCTTGGCTTTGCCTGGCCACTTTCACCCAGAAACTGCTTCAGGGTACAGAGTTCATGGGGGTCTTGGCCACCGAACCCTCGCCTTCTCTGAGACCTGGAGAGCTTGGCTTGTGCAGCACATGGCAAAAAGAATCCAATGAAGGTACCCACAGACTTGAATAGTTTGGAAAATCCTGCCCTTACTTGGTTTTGGAGATAGAAGAGCAGCCTTTTCTCTACAGACTCAACAGGAGTGGTGGTTTCCTTATGCCAGCCCTGGCTTCAGCGGGGATTGCTCTGGCTTGAGACTTCCACAGAGGATCAGCTTAAGGGACAGATTTGACACCTTGCCCCTCAAACCCTACCAGCCTCTTTGCTTGGTTAACCTGCCTTCACCGACCAGCATTGTACCTGTTACATTTGCCGGTGCCTGCAAATGCTTGGATTTAATTTTTAGGCTCTTCTGCAATATAAAATGGAAAAGGTTTAATTTGAAAATCATATTTGCGTTACTGAGGATGTTGCTATAGTTGCATTTCTGAGGTGTGGTTTTCACTTAAACTTAAGACCTAATGCTCTCGTGTGTGTGTGTCAGTAAAGGGAAACCACCAGCTGCTAAGAGCAGTTAATGTGCCTGCTGAGGAAGAAGGGGACAGGCATTTCTTTTTCTCTGCCTTGAGTTAATTTTTTTACACACATTGCAGTATGAGTTGGTGGAGGAAGAGCAGAAACTCCTACTCAGCAGTCTCTGGGTGGTGAACGGTGACTCTGAGAGGCAGCTACAGCTAGTGAGGAGTGTTGACTTCTCTGTTGTCCTCTATGCTCTACAGAGAGAAGGGAGCATTTAAGCAGAGAAGGGCAGTGGCAAGATGCGAGGCCAGCTCTGTGTCTGCAGGAGGGGAGCCCCGGCACTGTGGCTGATGCCTCTAACGAGAGCAGTTGCTCAGCAGTGATGTGATTGACCACACTTTTCTCTCTGAAATTACTTGTTTCTCTTTGAGAGAAAATCAGCACTATAAATAGTCATATCTTCCTATGGAGACCAGTGATGAGCTGTTTTGTACGTTGTTTGCGTGCTACTGGTAACATTTGAGAAAAGGAATCACACCATGGTTCTTTGCTCCAGTGGTAAATGCTGCACTGGATGCTCTAAGGATCTAATCAACATTCAGATTCATTCAGTCATTCCAGCATAAATGTTTTTGGAAGTTAAGAACATCAAAGAATGAAAATTTGAGAAAGAATTAGTGGTATTTCTCCCCCGTGTCTTTCCTAGTTGCATTTTTCATAAAGGATACTAATTAAATAAACACTCATTTGTGTAATTTCTCAAATGACCCAGATCTTTAATACGTCTGGGCAGGCACTCCAGTGCTTTGCATAAAAGGAAGAACCACCAGGGGTGGATCGTTTGACCAGGTTTCTAAATTCTTGACATAGCTCTCAATCTTGTGAAATAATAAGCATTATTTTCCCCATAGGTAACGTTGTGGGCAACCTGGGACACTCCTTCTTCAGCCAGAGCTTCCTCGGCAGCAAAGAACACGGGGGCTTCTTGTACGTTGGGGCTACGTATCAGTCCCTGCAGGACCTGGTGCTCCCCACGCCGCCCTACTTGTTTGGCATCCTCATCCAGAAGTGGGAGACACCCTGGGCCAAAGTGTTCCCCATCCGCCTGATGCTGAGACTTGGAGCCGAGTACAGGCGTAAGTATCGTAGTGCTGGGTGCTGCAATAGTTTCTGCAGGAGACCAGCTTCTGGTTTAGAGAACACCAACCCTAAATTGCTGCCTTTCAAAGCCATATGAGCTTTGATATGAGGCAAGAAAAAGACGTTATTGCTCGTGCTTCCAATCCACGTGGCATCCAAGTGACAGCACAGCAGTCCCGAGGTTGTGACATGACCTGCTGCCCTCCTGCAACATCTGGGCTAGCTGGTCAGGGAGGTTTTCTTGGAAGCAAATCTAGTGCTGAGCAACTGCTCATTGCTCCCTTAGTGACCTGAAATAGAGAAATGTGCAGAACCAGCTGACTTTGCTGTATTTAGGACAAATTATGGCCTTTAATGCTAAACTCTTACCATGGTGACATGCAAGAATGTTGGCTTTTAAATCTTAAAAAACACATGTTCATTATACAGAGAAAACTACTGTATGTCATAGGGCAACTAACTTTGCACTTTTTAAATGAAAATTCTGTTGCAATTAATAATGAGTTGAAACTGAGGTAAATCTTAGCCGTTATCATAAATTTAGGATAAAGTAATTTTCAAAAGACACAGGCCATCACTGGCTCAAAGAGAAATTATTGGAAGTCTGTCCACCATGGCAGGAGAAAAATCTTTAAAACTTGCTTTCTGAGCAAGAGAACTGTGGACTAAACTTGACTAATGTTAAAGGTGTCGATGTTTTTGCATGCATCTGTGAGGTTTTTTAAGTAGTGTATTTATTCCTGTCTGTGTTTAAAAAAAACAAAGATGTTCATATATAGGATGTGACATCTGTTTTTAGTGCAGAAGCAAATGTTTTGGTACTCATAGCTGGAAGTACCTACTCTGGACTTGGTAGGAAGCTGAGGCTCAAGTCCTTCCTGCGGCCACGGGCTGGATTTGGGCATATTCCCTGGTCCCGTGACAGCTGGGATTGCAGATTGCCTCCTCCGTCCCCTCCAGGAAGAGGCTGCCTCTGTGTACTGGCTTCCCCAGGCACATCCTCTTTTCTGGGTGGATTTGGCAGATTTGGGCTGTTTGTCCAGTGCTGCTGGATGTGCAGCAGAGCAGTTGCAGGAGTCGCTCTGGGCTGCTGGATGTCCAGGAAACGACTCCTGGGCATCCGCACAGGAGCCGAGCGCCGCTGGGCGCAGCCGCATGGAGCGTGCCTGGGAGCCGGGGCGCTTGCCTGCCCGGCAGTGCCTTTCCATCAGGAGATGCTCGTGACGGTCCCCTGCTCTGCTGAGCACTTTGCAGCTCCTTCTGACTGCGTTGGGAGTCGTGAAGATGTGCTGCCTTCTGGAAACCAGGCTGGGTGGGGGCTTGGGGAGAGCTCGGGAACCTTCCTTCTGACTCCCGTTCAGAAATCCTTGGCATTATATGTTCCTGCATGAGTCACGTCTAAGGCTCAGTTAGGGCTTGCACGTCATGTAGCCAGATCCGTATGGTGTGCACTGCATGGCTACCTACATGTTTTATAAGCCTGGCCAAGTCAGCTAAGGAATGTGGAAATTTTGCACCATTGACACATTATAAATGTGGTCTCGATTCTTTCTGATGTCCTCCATAGAGTTCTTGCTGCATTTTAAAGAACTGTGGAAACAGAAATGAAATAATTTTTATAATTATCACTTGCATATGTTACACATTCCAGCTGTAGAACCAAAGGCCTTTGATGCTATAGAGGGGGGCTGGAGGATGGTCATAAAAAACGAGACACGTTTTCCATGAAGTATCTTGAGAAAGGGGCAGGTCATCTTTGCAATCCTTGTCCAAATTGCTGTGTTCAGACTTTGTTTGGTACTTGCAAGTGTTCCACATGATTCTTACTGCTGCTGGCACGATGGGCATGGAGGCAGAGCACACATGGAAGGCACATTATGATAATGCCACACTCTTCTTCCCTTCTGCATTTAAATCTCTGGTCTTCTGCACAATTCTCCTCTTTTGCTTTTACCATAGTCACCTGAGAAGATTGTCTTTGGTTTTGCAGCATTTCTCAGCAGGCAAATTGGAATCTCAGCTTTTTTGTCTTGTTTTCCCTAGTTTATCCGTGCCCGCTGTTCAGTGTCAGATTCCGTAAGCCGTTGTTTGGAGAGACGGGACACACGATTATGAACCTGCTTGCAGTAAGTGCCAAGTTTGCCCATTCCAATGGTGTGCATGGATCAGCGGGGGAAGGACTGTGCTCTTGCATATAGTAGCTGGCATGCTTAAAAGACCAGAGGAGGAAATAGTGGGCATTTGGGTGAATGATCGGCTGTTACTGATGCTGGATGTCAACTTTTGACAGTGTGGTAAGTTGTAAAAATGAGCCCATATCAACATGCAAGGCCTGGCCACCTGTGAGAACACTTTAGACCTGGAAATGAATGCAGTAACTGCTCAGGTTCCTCTTCGGAAGTGCTGGGTCATTGCAGTGTTCAGCTGCAGCTCGCTGGTTATACAGCTTCAAGCGAAACCAACTTGCAGCTCTTCCTGCTTCGCTGATATTTTCAATGTAGAAAATTATCTTTGATACATGATCTAATCTTAGTGCTAGAGAAACTAATGCCTATGCAGTGATGCACAGAGAACAGCCTTTTTATATACAGAAATGACATCCAAGGCTGGAGACTACAGATTTTTTGGTGTAAGAAAATCAGTGAAATGACTAAGAGACATCCTAATTTGTGTGTGTGTGTTTCAGTTACGTAGGCTGCAAGCTGCGGTTCCTTCCCCCTGTCCCTGCCTTTCAGTCACTGATTGCAGTTATTTTAGTGGGCTCGCTAGTGGTCACTGGCTTAGTTATGAAACCTCCTATTTTAATGATGGTTATTTTACATAACTTTCTAAAAAAAATTACCTGTTTTAATTACTAGGACTTCAGAAATTACCAGTACACGCTGCCTGTGGTCCAAGGTTTAGTGGTTGATATGGAAGTCAGAAAAACCAGCATTAAAATTCCCAGCAACAGATACAATGAGGTAAATGCTTAAATAAAATGTGTATTTAATGTTCCTTTGTGGTTGGAGGACCTGAGATCTAAATAAATTTTATTTTATATGCTACTGCTAATGAAGCTGTCTCGAAACAAAACTATGTGCATCATGCATTTATATTTGGAGAGGGAATGAGGATGTGTCCACAGGAAAAATAGGCACGAGTCAATATTCTATTAGATAAAAAGGAAGGATAATTTCACCATTTCTTCAGAACTTTTAATAACTTTCATATAAAGCGTAAGTGTAAATAATTGAAATTATTGAGTATTGAAAATACAAAGATTGCAAATACTGTTCTGACTTGAACAGATGAACTGATAAGCTTCACACTTGGTGTAAACTAGGAGAAAAAGTACATGTACTTTCCTCATCTATGTTGTATGTGTGCATATTCTGCATTTAATTGTTGGATTGCTTCCTATTTTATATGAAATATTTCCATGTATTTGGATTTTATTAATTTATATTTGATTTCTGCTATGAGAAAGCATTTTTTCCTACTAGTTAGGATTCAGTGTGGTTGCTAAAGCTGAGTGACAGAGATTTGAACCATAATGAAAGAAAACAAGGGAGAAGGTGGTAATTTTGTGGGCTGTCTGCCTGCAGAGCAGGGAGCAAATGGTCAACTTGGTATTTGGAAGCAAACCAGCAGTTAGTGACCAAAGGAAACCTCCTGGGCAAAATGGTGTTTTTAAACGTGCTTCTAGCATCAGATGAGAGTACAGCTGTATCTCATGGCGGAATTACCCTGCAGGAAGCATTCGAGTAAAATAATAGTGAGAGTGAAGAAGTGCCTTAAAAAAGGAAGAGTTGTTCTTATGTGAAGCTTGAAAACATGAAGCTGGTGAAGTAAGGAGGTCTGTTGTGAGATGTATCGGTTCCTGATGATGATGATGATGATGATGATGTGGGAGCACAGGAAAGGTCACTAACGCTCACACGCGATCTGAAATGACTGAGTTAAATAGCTGTTGGCATGCAAGCTGCAGGTTAATAAGCATTAGCTGTGCCTGGCATTCGCAGATGTGCTACCTCGCTTCCTTGCTAGACACTGCACAGTGCTCAACTTTGGGGAAACTCCTGCATTGTGCGGGACAGCAAAATCTCTGTCATGCTTGTATTCTCTTTCCAGGTTGAAGCAAGCGTTCAGCTTTTAAAATGGCTTTTAAATGCTATTTATTTAACTTTACTGTATGCAATCCACTTGGAAAGGTTGAATTTTAGAGTTTTTTTCCATTGGAGATTTTTTAAATAGGTAATACGAATTAAACCACAAGACCTTTACTTGTTTCCTCTTTTAAAGCATTATTTAATTAGCAGAGTGTCATTTGAGCTATCAAAGTTAAAGACTCATTTGAAATCTTATGCAGGGATTATATGTGGTGAATTCAGATTGTAATTGAGAAATTAAATATTTAGTATATAGTTTTTCTTATTAAAGACATAGCTTTCCTTTCAAAATGATCTTCATTTCCTACCACTTCCAGTGGAGGTTACCTCTCTGGCACTGTTTGGTCCCTCAGCTTTGGTGGCTTGTTGGGGCACGAAGCACAGGGGCTGTGTCCCATATGCTGGTGCTTCTGCCTAAGCAAAACAGCGGCCGCTGCTCAAGCCACAGTCCTGGCTTTGGAGCTAAAGCTAAAGGTTTGATAAACTGGATAAACGGAATACGCTGCTGTCTGCTGCAGACAAACTTCATCAGGTCCCTCCCCATCCGTTACACTGTGAGCAGGGGGATGAGCTCCTGTTCCTGGCGCTGCAGTTGAGGCTTCGCACAAGGCGGGGAGGGCTCCGTGCTGTGCACAGAGTACTAATAGCTGCTTAATAATTATAATTAATAAATTATAATCCAACATTTTCCTTCATTCTTTTCACAGTGGTGCATATGTGTAATTTAATTGGCTTTTTGCTACTTTAAAGAAAAAATGATTTCTCATTTTCAAACAAAGCTAAGTGACTGGTTCAGTTTTCTTTGGGGAGCAAAATGGAAAATTCTTTTATCCACGAAATGGAAGGGAGGATAAAAGGAAGGAATCAGTCTGATTTACAAGGATATTTTGGCAAAGCATTTAAGTAGATGTTAATTAGCAAAGCTGAAATGAAGGTGTAATCGCAAAAGTTGATGGGTGCTCTTTGGAGGTTTCCTTTCCAGAGAACTAAAATGGTATCTGGCTGTCTGTGATTCAGGTTTCTTTAGAAAGCCTTTGAAATAGGGACCATTGATCCCAATTTCAGAAATTCATGAGAATGAGACATGGAGAGACTAAAGCTTTGATGTCTGTCGAAGTGCAGACTCATGATGGAGCTGGGGTTAGTGCCATGAGTCCAAGTCCTGGCCTTTCTGTGGAGGCAGGATTTTTACTTTGTGACTGCATCATCAATATTATCAACAACTTCAGTAGTGTAAACAAGGCAGACATTACATTCAAGTTCTTTTTTAAGGCAGCCCTTTAGGGCATCCAAACTGTGCAAGGCCTGAACCTCTCTTTCAAAGTACACGTCTGGCTCTGAGTGCTGAAATCTCTCTGGACGGGCCCGAGCCCTTTGCTCTGTTCGACTGCGTGTGTCCGAGAGCCGCCTGTTTGTGCTGGTGCCGCCTGAGTGGGGCGAATGCTGAAAGCCTTTTTGTCTGCAGATGATGAAAGCCATGAACAAATCCAACGAGCACGTGCTGGCGGGAGGCGCCTGCTTCAACGAGAAGGCAGACTCGCACCTCGTGTGCGTCCAGAACGACGACGGCAACTACCAGACGCAGGCCATCAGCATCCACAACCAGCCGCGCAAGGGTGAGCGCGGCGCGGGGCCGGGCCGGGCTGCTGCGAGGGCGTGGGGCTGCGGGAGTCTGCAGCACAGGGTGTTTGTGTGTCACAGGGTTCTGGTAGCTCGGAGGAGGTAATTCAGTGTTCACAGCGCTGCACGGGCAGCTTTGCGAGCCAGGCGTGTGGCCCAAGGGCGAGCAGCACCCAGGGCCACCTTGCTGTGCCTGCCCTTCGCCCCGGGCAGGGCTGTGCTCGCGGTGGCAGGGGCACAGCACGTGGCCTGCATCCCGCGCACAGCCCCGGGATGCTGCTCCGGGTCAGCACCGCTGCTCCGGATGGAGCAGGGCTCCGGCAGCCTCTCAGGAGATCAGGCAGGCCGGAAAGAGTCCTGCGCATTGCTGCTTGCTGCCATGCACAGCTGCATGGCCAGGGCACGAGCTGCTGCGCGGCCACCTCCCTCCTCAGCGAGGAGAGCGGTTGCCAGCTCTGCCGGGGTGCCGGCCTGGCCTGCGCTCCACGGGGAAGGAATAACGGGGCTGGCTTTAATGGGGGAGAAAGGTAAATGAGAGCAGCCACCGACAGCTGCGTGGTAGTAACCCACCCTCAAAAAGCGCAGAAACCCTTCCGTATTCACCTCAGTTAGACCATCTAATTTCCTGTGTTTTCTGTTTGTTTTCTTGTTGCCTTAGGCTGGAGTGCAGCAGCAGGTGTGCGCTGAGAATTTAAATGGCAGGGGCTTGGGGAAAAGCTTACAGCAAAGGCGTTGCCACTAGCTCCAAATAAGAACAAGCAAGACAGAGGCCAGCTCTCAGGCTGCCAATAGCTCCGGGCACTCAAGGGGGTTTATACTGGCGTGGGGCTGTTGCACATATCTGAGTTCTGCTCCTTTTCCATAGGGCTGAGAAGAGGGATTTCCAGCAGGGACCTTGTGATGCTTAGTGGCCATTTAAGAGAATTCTATTTTAAGTTGCCTGGTTTTGAGCTTTGGCCAGGGGGTTGGCGTTAGTGTGAGATGTAAATAGCCTATGTACTAGCTTTGCCAGTTGCGTGGGAACATTTAAAAACCAAATTATGTGCTTGCTTATGCTAAAATACAGTCCTGAATCTTAGTGTGTGTGTGTGTGTGTGTGTTGGGGGGAGAGGGAGATATATGTTAAATATGAGCCCTTTATTAAGGTTGACAGAACTGTTTTACAGTTTAGAAAATCACAAAATGATTTGCCGTTGCTTAGCCAAGCCTCTGATGTGAACTGAAGTCACGGTACCTGTGAGCAGGTTCTTCCTGATTTAGATTAATTGCCTCTCTGGATGATAGAGCTGTCCTACTTGGGTCTCATATAAGGCTTGGTTTTGATGAAAGCCCCACTAAATCACTCCTGCTCTTGTTGCTGCAGTGACTGGTGCCAGCTTCTTTGTGTTCAGCGGAGCTTTAAAATCCTCTTCGGGTTACCTTGCCAAGTCCAGCATTGTAGAAGGTAAGAACAGAATTGCTTGCTTAAAAATTCACTAGTTCCCTCTCTGCGTTGCTTTGCTGTGTCCTTACTGGGGCTCTGCTGTTATGCCTTGGGCATTTGAATCATGCTCTTGCCATCAAACCTGGGGAACTTGACTGAAAAAGAACTAGTCCAGGTGCTCTGAGACAGCGATGGAGGAAAATGAGAGTAAGATGTGAAATACCAGTGAGCCTGGGCTCAGCTCAGCGTGTTGAGGTGAGTGAAGAAACTGAGAGCCCAAGAAATGGGGAATATGTAACCCTAACCCAGCAACCAGGAGGTGAAGCCCTGCTAAACATATCATCTTCCCCAAGTAGCTCTGCGTTATCCAACACTGTTTAAAAAAAAAAAAAAAAAAAAAACCACGATCCATAGGCAGATAAGAACATGCAAAGTCAAGACTGTTGGTCTAGGATGGCTTTGATTTGGTTGTTCAGGTGACACATGAGCAGACTGTGTCCCTGGGGCTGAAGGGCAGCCCTGCTCGTTAGCTCAGCTGTGCAGTGTGGTCTAAGCTGGCTGCAAATGGGCTGTGTGGGCAGCAGTTTAACTTGAGCTTTGTGGTTTGGGAGGGCTGGGCAAGAAGCTGATGCAGAGAGTCCGCTAGCAAGCAGGGCGCCCTCCTGCTCCCCCTTTAAGCTGATATATCTCTAGATAGATACACATACATGTCTAGGATGTTAGGCCAATTCCTGGGGCTCAGTTGTTACAGTGCAAGACTTTGAGGCACAGATGGATGCAGACCAGCAAATTAGTTCTGCAGTCATTTAGATTGCTACAGTCCAAATTCAGTATCTTAATTCTGCCAATAACAGGCAAGTGCTGAAGTCTCAGAAATGCTGTCACTTCTGTGTAAAGCAAAGTGAGGCAAATGAATATGTCTCTCCTGATCTCATAGATGGACTTCATGTTATCCTTGTGTGTTCTGCCATGAGCCTTGCACATCTGAGGAAGAGAGGAGATAAGGAATGGTCTTCTGCAGCACTGATGCATATAACACTTAAAATAGCTTCTGCACTGTGCGTTTGTTTTATGGGCTGTGGTCAGTGGGGCTGTGGCCTATTTTGGCTTGCGAGGATTTCTTCATTCCCTAGATGGGGTGATGGTCCAGATAACTGCTGAGAACATGGACTCTTTGAGGCAGGCCTTGAGAGAGATGAAAGACTTCACCATCACGTGTGGCAAAGTCGACGCTGAAGATCCTCAGGAACACGTTCATATTCAGTGGGTAGATGATGATAAAAACTTCAGCAAGGGGTAAGTAGCGGAGCAGTCTCCCAGCAATGAACTGGTGACTGTTTGCCTGCATTTGTTAAAAAATTTAATTGATCTTATGAAGTGCTTGGGATGGCAAAGCAATTACCAAGAGTCTGCACCTCTATTTTGAGTGATAAGTTGCAATTAAACATAATGAAAAAGGGAACTAAAATAACAGAGCTTTGGGACATCTATTTAGAAAGTTGTCAATGCTACGGAAAGATTCCTTGCCAATATCAGGTTGTTGGAAACCACCAATCTGGCTTCAGCTGAGTGCGGAATCCTGCATATTAGGACTTTCTTTCTTAATTTACATTAAGTAGTGCTGGAAGTAAAACTAGTTTTAAAGCCAATAGTAAATCTGGAGCTTTCAGAGTTAATCTGAAAGAATGGTGGTTATGTCATTTTAAGTATTTATTGTAATAAAGCAATGTACCTACCACTTGGGCTAGGCACCATCTTTAGGGTATCAGAATAGGGAAGGGCTATTTCTGCAGGTTAATTCTGTTCATGTTAGCTTCAAGTACAGTACAACTCTTATGTAACATGTTTTGGGCTGCAGGAATAGTGGTTCAGGTATTGCTGGGCTACACTGAGGTTATAAATGAATAAAAATCAAATCTGTATGAAGTATGTATATCATAATATAGTGTTAAAACATTTGAAGGCCTTAGTGCTACTGCAGAGCTGTGGTAAAAACCTGTGGGCAGATCCTTGCAGGGCCTGAGGTGGCCCTGGCAGGGACAGCCCTCAGCTGCTGGCGGGAGGCTCAGCCCAGTGCAGCCCATCCCAGCACACGGTTGGAATTGGCCACAAGAATCAAAACTGCTGGGTTTGGCAGTCAGCATCTTTTTTTGGTTGCTGAGGCTAATGCTGTCCCTGGCCCAGGGAGTCCATGCAGTGAGTTCTGGGCATCCACGTGGCAGGGTGCTCTTACAGCTCAAGCTATAGCGAGCCAGGCAGGTGGGCTGCCTGCCTCCATGACCCAGGTTCCTGGGCAATGATGCTCTCGCTCTGCAGAACTATCCCTGGGAAGTGCTCTCTCCTGCTAAGTGGAAACTTACCCTTTACCTCCGCTTTTGCAGGGTTGTGAGCCCTATCGATGGCAAATCAATGGAGTCTATAACAAGCGTGAAGATATTTCATGGCTCGGAGTACAAGGCCAACGGAAAGGTCATTCGGTGGACAGAGGTAAGGGGTAAGGCTGAGGGGTGCATAAGCCAAGCCTTGCACGGAGGGGCTGCAGCCCTGGCTTCACCTGACCACAGTCCTGCCTGCTTTTCCCCACACACCAACAAAAATAGGACGTTCTTATTACAGTACAAAGCTGGAGTAGCTCTCCTGCCTCCAGGAGTCATTAAGGCACAGTGCAGAATTAACAGCGCCCGACACTGATGCATCACTCAGGGTGCTCACACCCATCCTGTACAGCTGCCTTCATCTGTGTTAAAAAAAACTAGGTGAAAACATCCCTTCGTAATGGAGAGATCTCTAAAAGGGGTACTTTGAACTGCCTTTTGCTAAAATGCTGGACAACTAAAAGGAAGGTGCCGCAGCATTAACGCTTGCGGCAGCTGCTCCACTGAGCAACTACCTCGAGAGCTGGTGAGCCCTGTGACTGCCAGCACATGCTCCAGGATTTCCTGAAATGCTTCACTTAGCCTTGCTCCAACTTGCTACTTTACTGTACTTTTTCCAAGGTCATTTGGGCTCGAGAGAGATAAATTTGCTAACGGCAGAACTATGAAAAAATAGTTTTTTTTTTTTTTTTGAGGCTTGGATGGTGTGTAGTAAAAATACATTTTTTTTTTCCTGAACTAAACACCTGTTTAAAAAGCAGCTTTTTATTAAAAACTGTGTGCAATACATAGTGAATTTCCATAAGGAGGATTTTTAACCAGAACTGCAAGGTTGATGAGAACAGTACTCTTAAAAAAACAAAGGAAAACCCCAAAACATTCAAAAGATATTTTAAGTCATATGCTTTTATCTTCAGTTTTTTTGCCTGATTTCCCTAAGACACTGTTCTCTGAGTCTTCATCTGTCAAAAATTTAATCATTTCGATAATTAAGCTTATTTTCTATAAAATCCAAGTGCTATAGCTTGTATTGACATTTCTACCCCAGGTGTTTTTCCTGGAAAATGATGAACAACATAACAGTCTGAGCGACCCCGCTGACCACAGCAGATTGACTGAAAACGTGGCAAAGGCTTTTTGTCTAGCCCTCTGTCCTCATCTGAAATTGCTGAAAGAAGATGGAATGACTAAGCTAGGGCTGCGTGTTACACTTGACTCAGATCAAGTAAGTCCTGAATTGTTTTGCTTTAACTGGGTGTTTTATTCCCCCTGGTTTGTTCCTCAGAAGGGAAGCAGGACACCTCACCTGCTCTCATGGCTGAAGAGCTGCCACTGTCAAATGTTAATCGAGAGACAGGAGCTGTTGGTGCTTTGGGACAGCTGTTAAAATCTGAGAGCTCTGCAGAGAGCAGATTAACACGGCCACCCTTGCCCCTGGCAGCACCTGTGCTGCAGGCAGAGCGCAGTGACCAGGGCTCTGACCTTGTGGCTGTGACTTGCTCAGGAAAGAGCTGCCCCTGAGGCTGCTCCGTGCGTTCCTGGGGTTAGCCTCAAGCCCTGCCCACAAGCAGGCCCCTGGGAACCGCTCGCACGGCAGCGAAAGCTGTGAGCAGCAAGAAGACTCTCGCCACAGGAGAATGGTACCTACCTGCACCTCAGTACTGCACAGCTTGGTCTGAGCAGGGTCTGGTTCCTGCTTATCTGAGAGATCCTTGACAAAGCAGTGGAAAAAACTGGCTGCTTTTGTCTGGACACTGCTGGGACCTTTGCGGAGAAAGGAAAGCAAGTGAGAGGCTGCCCTAGAGCCTGCGAGCGGGCGTCCAGTCCAGAACAGCCAAGTCACTTCCCCTCCTGCTCGCTGAACCCTGGCCCCTGCTCACCTTAAACCCACTCTTACTTTGTGTTTTTTAGGTTGGTTATCAAGCTGGGAGTAACGGACAGCCCCTGCCTGCCCAGTACATGAATGACCTGGACAGTGCCTTAGTGCCAGTGATTCATGGAGGGGCTTGTCAGCTGAGCGAGGGGCCGGTCATAATGGAGCTCATCTTTTATATTCTGGAAAACATCTCATAAGAGGACTTCATTTTCCGTTCAGACCTGTTCCAGCAGCAGTTGTATCTGAATCATTTGCACTTTAAAACTGGAAAATTAAGCTTTTGTTAACACTATTAATGGGAAGGGGGGAGGGTGGGGAGGGAGGGACAGTTGTTCCATAATTCTAAATCTTCTATGCATTGTCAACAACCAGAGGATCAGGGCAGCTTCTATACTACAACATGGCTATGCTATCCTTGCAGCTAATCCACTTCTGTTACTGTTTAGAGAAATGCTCATGTTTAAAGACTTACAGTCGTGTACTCGCAATGCTCAAACGGGTGCAAAGATCACTGGGGCGCAAAATAAAAAATGAAACTCCAATCTCGTACTGTCTGTAGATGGACACGTAAGAAACAACAATCAAGACCTCCATTCTGACCTCATCATAACGCTGTTTGTGGTTATTCTGTAGACATTTAAAATTAATGTTTACATTATTTTGACCAGATTATTGGTTGAAATGCATTTGGGGAATCCTGAGAGATGCATGGAACGATTACCTAGCCATAACTACATTTGTATATGAGAACTTTATGAGAAGGGCAAGCATCTCTCTGAAAGTAATATTGTGTAAACTGCAAATTGTGTGTGTGTAATAGGGTAGTTTACTTTTTTCCTCTATTTACTGTAAGAACTTGTCACGTCAGCAGATTTCTAGTCTCCTACAACAACTGCTATTCTATACTTTGTTTACAAAGCTCTATGAATTTCAGATAACCTGTCACAAAGAGAGGAAATACTAGCCCTGAAGTGCAGTTATATCTCATTCCTCTTCCCCAGTAGATCCTGCTTTTTCAAAGAAAAGTAACACCCAGGGCAGCTTTGAAAGTCTCCTCCCTGCTGTATGCTGTAGTATAACGCTAGTGTCATGTAATACAAGACGCTTGCACTTCATATTAGCAGCACCATGTAAAGCTTACCTGTGATACCAGTAGAGAGTGGCTGTTTTTGCATGTTCTGCTGAAAAAGGCTTCCTGGTCAGCACTGAAAACTTGCACTTGGCCCAGAGCTCCTGCTCTCACTGCAGAGCGTTTGTGGAGGAAGCAGCTGCTCCCTGCGGAGCTTGGCCTCAGGGGCCAGAGGGAACAGGGTTCCACATTCCCATGAACTGTTGCTATGGAAAGCTGCTAACCAGGGAAAGGGCTGGAAGGAGAAGGAGGTTGGTTTGTTCAGTCTTAACCCTGCAATGCGGTTGTTTGCGTCAACCTGGGGAGAGGTTTCCCTGCCTGCCCACACTGGGACCAGGTCAAGGACAGAAAACTAGTTTGGAAATGGAGGTGCTAATTTATGGTTAAAGCAGCATCTCAGACCTTGCCTTGTCCCTACTTTGCAATCAGCCCTGTTGGGTGCACTGGACTTTATTTGTTTCTACTGGGTATGAGCAACAGAGCAGCCCTATTACCTATAGAGATTGGAGGGCAAGCAAGGATACAGAGCAGTAGCTGGGCAAAGGTCACTGTACAAACCACAATGTATTTTACATAAAAACAGCACAGTGAATGTACAGAGTGCATTTGTGAATAGATGGCTACTGCTTAAAAAAAAGAACACCCAGTACTTACAAATTTAATGCAGCAAATGACAGCTGTCCCACAACACACTTGGAGAGAAGGGCCACAGACCTGGGGTCCAACTCAGAAATAAAAGTTGGAGAAAAAGAGGGAGCACAGTCATTAACACTTTCCTTTTAAGCATACATCAAGGTGAAATCTTACCTCTGGCATTGGGAAAAGGTGGCTTAGCTTTTCATGCTGGATAACCCTGAAGCTACTCCACACACTCATTAGCCTTCCTATGTATCTGTGCAGGGGAACAGGGCTGAGGTTACCCCTGGGGAACCCCATCTTTGCACACACTTTGGGACAAAGTGCAGCACCACGTGGCCCAGGCAGCACTTGGTGTCTGGAAGAACATCCATAAACCTCAGTCACAGCTTCCTTCCCAAGACCGTGTCCGGCTCGGTCGCAGCAGCCGCTTTCCAGCTACATCAGCCTTCATGCAGTGAAAGAGGTTAAAGATTTTAATCTTCTCTTCCTTCGCCTCAGAAGTCATTTAGGTTTGGATTATGTTTGTGCAAAACACTATCAACTGGTGACTGACATGTTTGCTTCAACCATAGCCTTTTAAATGACCTTAATTACCATGTTGTTAAGAAATGAGTACTTGTTTTAGAAAAAAAAAAATTGTACTTTTAAAATTCAGTTAGTTAACACTGCAAAAAAACTGCATATTATATTTTTATTTTCAACATGTAGTTTTGTATATTAAATTTATTGAAATTAAAAACTAAATACTGTATTGTCTTCATCTGCTCAGGAAGACAGAGGCAGCGCGGCCCTGCTTGTCTGGACTCCTTTTCTGTCTACACCCTTGCCCTACCTGAAGAGCTGCTGCAGCAGCACTGACCCCCTGAGCACAGGCACCTCCTCTCCCTCGAGATCAGGCATTTCTGTTAGTTCACTGAGATTTAAAACCACAAAACATATTGGGTACTACTTTCTGTAAGCTGCTAATCAAGTACATTCCTGAAAACAGTCATAATCCAGTTTTCTGCATGGTAAAGAGTGGCTCTTTTCCCCATCACCTGAAAGAACCAAAAAAGCCTATTTTTGTAAAAATACAATGGACATTTGGGAAGCAGCAGTGCATTAGCGTAACCTGTTCCTGAAAAGAGGGACAGGGGGGTGACGGGGACAGTCGAAGGCACAGAGCCCGGCTGCACTCCACCGGGGCGAGCGGCGCAAACCAGAACCTGCAACCCCACCCTGCTCGGAGGCAGCAGCCCCCTTGGGTTCCTGCTGCGCTCGTGTGCGCAGAGCGGGGACACGGGCGGCTGCCAGAGCTGTGTGAGAGCAGAGCTGGCTCCTCTGCTCCGAGAAAGCGACGGGAGAAACAAACGGGCCTTGGTGAGGGGGGACAGGAAAAGCGGGAGCCGGCGGCGCTCCCGGTACCGTGTGGGTGCTCGTACGCTCAGCAGAGTGAGTCCTGGCAAAGGGCTCACCCTGGCCCAACGGAAACGCTTCTGCTCTGCCACAGGGACGTGTTCAGGCAAAGCCTTTCACACTCCACTGTGCATAGTCCATGTAACATTCACCCTGCTGCTACGTTAATAGTCCCACATTAAGGCAGTTCTATTTTGTGTAGACTAGTAACATTCCCCTGCAGTAGCAAACTTCCCGAGCCTTACATTTGCCTTAGAAAGTTATTAATAAGCACTATGGCTGTTACCAAAATAGACATTAGGTTCAGTAGTGCATTCATTTAACATCTTTGGTGCTTGCAGCTAGCAGCTTCTTTCTGCGTACAATATTCATCCTGCATCCATTATGTTCCTGAGTGGAGAAAGAGAGAAAAATAAATAAATAAATAAAAGACAAATGAGTGGACACAACGCTTACTTAGTAGATGTTCACAGTTCAGGGTCATGCTACATGTAAAATGCTGACCCTGACTTCCCGGATGGTAACTAGGAAGTCAGCAGTGCAGAATTATTAAGCCTTAGAGGTGGCCATGACACAACGCGGCGTCGCTCCGTCTGCCGTGGGGCTCACGGACACCCTGACCCCTCCCGTGCTCCCATTCAGACTCCAGCACTGAAACAAGACCCCTCAGTCTGCAAAATTTTACACAATTTGGAAGTTAAAATATGGCAATGATGTTCTGTGAAGCTAGTAAGTATCGGCCTAACTGCAGTTTACACAAGCAAAGCAAAATAATATCCGAGGGAGGACAACTTTCACACTGGCAGTGCCAATGGGAGGGGGAAGCCTCTTCTCTGGCTTCTAATGTATCGCTGAGACACATGGGCTGCTTCTGTACGGAGTCCTAAGGCAATGGCCACCACTCACAGCTCCATCGAGCGCCTGCATTCAGCTCCACAGTTTCTCCCCTTTGCAGCGGAAGAAGAGTCCTTGCCCTGTGTGAAAGGTCTTCTGCAAACTGTAGGCAGCAGGGACACACCCTCCCTCCTAAGAAAGGCTTGTCCACCGTATATCCTAAATATCATCCTAAATGAAGATGATGCTACAAGCTCTCCCTGCGTTTGTGAAAGGGATCGTGAAAGGTTCTGTAACCTCATTTCTTAATTTAAGTCAACTCAGCACCAGAAATAAAACAATGAATGATACCAAAGCCTGAGCTCCTAATCGGGTCAATGTCAATATGAAACATCACTTCATGCAGAGTTTATCTGTGGCACTATCAAATTCTGGCCAGACCCTCTTGAGAAGCAGTATCTGTACCTCAGACAGGAACTAATGTTCAAGGACCAGCCAGTTTTCTGTAATTGTCTGAAGATCTTGACCACTGAGGGGCTCCCTGAGTCTCACTTTCACCTCCAGTTTCCCTCCAGTCGGCTTTCTGCCATCAAAAATCTGAAGGAGCCACAAAAAAAAAAAAAAAAAAAAAAAAAAAAAGCCGTTAGCACACATGGAAACGTCAATGTTAAACTGCAGCACCACCACAGGCACCCAGTGACTTGGCTGTTGCTGACTAAAAGCTCCAGGGATCACCCATGGGTGCTGTGCCCAGGAAGGGGCAGCAGATCCAGCCCCGGGAGCAGGTTCCTTGGCACGGGTGGCTCTGCCCAGCGGCCTGGGGCAGCTCCACAGACGGGAACCCCAAGGGCTTCCGCACGACGCCGCTTTCCTCTCCCCTCTGACCGTCTTAGCTTGACCCTTTAGCCTGCAATTCTCACCCTGACAAAACCCTACGGATACCCACAACGTGCAGACAGCCTCACTCTTGCAAGGGTGCAGTTTAAGACAGAAAATAGGTAGGTTAATTAAGGTGGATCTTGGAGGCCATTTTAGAAAGGGGTTAATCATTGCTCTACACTAAACTGTACCTCCAAACAACATGGATGCACCATTAGGCTTCTGTCTCCCTCTTGCCAGGATAATAGCAACAAGGAATGGGATCATAATGCAAAGATCCAACAACATCCCCGGGGATGTAAAAGACAAACCAGGATTCCACAGATTAACTGCAAGCTCCACTCCGAGGGCATCCTTCCTCTTGTGTGGAAGGAATTTGATCAGCTATTTAACAAAGTTTAGAACTGAAATGTAAATAACAAAACTAAAACAGCTATTTTGGAAAATACCTATTGACTTAAACTGTGAGAAAATGTCAAAACTCTCACATATTTGTTTGACCCTCAGTTATTCGCTATCAAAAGTGATAGTGAATCCCCTCAGAAGTCTCACTACAGGTTATACAATTAGGAAAAGCCCGTTCTTTATCAAACTGATCCCATACAAAGCTGTTATCTATGTGCACATCCGAGCAAGATGGATGTTTCCCATCCCCTCACGCTCATATACTACTTCCTACAGGACACAGCTCGCCCCGCAAACGAACCTCGATGATCTCTCTGACTTCACATTCTGACTCCAGCTTGTCCAGTTTCAAGTGCGCTGTCCCCACCTGCTTGTCACTTCTGAAAAAGGACCTGTTGGAAAGAAGTCTCTCTTAGAGGAAAGGGCAAGGTTTTTAGATCATTAAGAGAAAGAAAGTTAAGAGCTCACTGCTATTTGTACTATCATCACACCCAGGAAGTCTAGTCAAGACATGCCACCAGACCTCAAAAACATGGATGAAAGAGGCCAACCCTTGGTAAACGGAGTGACAAGGCCCTCACTGTGCCTGAGCTACTCACTGAGGCCCTCATTTCCTCACCCTTCTCTTACATCCAAAATAAAGATGAGGAATGAAGAAAAACAGTCCAAGACCTGGACTAGCACTAGCAACAAGAGCAGATTTCATGCCTTAAGGCACAGAAAAGGCTTAGTGAGACAAGGAAGCAGAGGAGTAACAAGACACCCGTGACAGAAAGTGACCGTTTACAAAGGATGTTTAGGAAAACTGTACAAAAAAAAAAAAAAAAAAAGTTGTGTGTATCATCAAAAGCGTGATTCACAAGCACGTGCTGGTTTTAACCAGTATGAAGAGAAATTTAAATGAATTATTCTGTTTCATACTGATATATCAAAACATGACATTTCAAAAAATAACAGTTAATTCCAGTTCTTTGGATTCATCGTGATATTAATAATTTTAATACTGAAGAACTATAATTTCTGTTTTGCTGAAATTAAATACAGAACATTTTTATTTGGAAAGAAAAGAAACTTCAACATTTTCACCTCTAGAGTCACTTCTGCTTAACAGTTTTAGCAGCGAGACATCCCTCTACCTTAACAACCAGACGCAGGTTAAGAGTCCTGGCCTTATTCAGATCAGCTCCTCATGAGGTAACAACAAACACTCAAACACACCAACTCCACGGAAGTTAACAAGTGTCCAGCTCAACGTGCTGGAAATCCCTCGCTGAACTCAAGCATCTCCCTGAAACCACTCTCCAAAGGGTGAATTAAAACAAACAATTGTTGAAACAATTAAAACTATAGTCCAGAGGCATCCAAACCTGCGAAGGGGAGGCCAGGCAGCCTGGCCGGCTACGCTCTGCACAGGAAAGTTGCCAGGACTTCTGCTTCCCTTTTTAACAATGTTTCATTTTGGATTCTGAAAGAAGAAAGCCCCAAACCATCCACCTTCTTCTACCATTAGGAGACTGGAGTGAGGAGACCAAACAGGACATGTTATCTATCAACAAGAACCCTGCAGGTTCACAACAGCGCTCGGAGAAGCGCAGACGGGGCTGCTGTACGTGCTACGCTGCTTCCTGAACTTCCTGAGTATCTTACCCATATGAAGAAGGATTCAGAGTTCTCCTGAGAGTGTCTCCTGGACACCCTTCTATAAATGAAGCAGCAGCTTTTCTAGCTCTGTTTCTTTTTCATCTAATCCAAGAACCAACAAAGACTGGTCCATCATGGATTCACAGTGAAAAAATGTGAACTTGCCTTAGGCTATGGTTTAGGAACATCACTGGTGAAATCTCCTTTTATCTTCAGAAGATTTTAGAAGAGTTTTAATGAGAATCTTTTGGGGAAAGTATATTGACATACTTTTACTTAAAAGTATTTTTGAAAGCAACAGGAGTTTAATATATAGAAGTAGCAATATATTGTGTGCTCTTTCATTAGCTGCTGCAGGTCTCCTCCGCCCACTGAGAGAAAAGAATTCTTGGGCCAAGATGAGCATCAGCTCTCAGAGATGAGCAAAGAGCTGTCAGAGACTGCAGAAAAGTTTCAGAAACTTCCAGAAATGTTTGCAGATATTGTAATACCCATTCCATAGTTCTGAGGAATGAAGGAAGCAGAGAGGTTTTAGAAGGAAGCCTCTATCACCTACTTCTCTCCTCTGTCACAGGCTGCAGCTAAACAAGGCAAAACAAGCAACTGGAACGGGCAAAACCCAGGAAAACAGTGGAAATACCACGGTGCAGGGGTTACAGCTGGGCCCTTCTGATATCTCAGCCACCACACACCACGTCAGGCAACACGTTCTGCGACTGTTCCTGCTGCCACTGCAGCCACAGGCAGCCTCTGCCTGCCCAAGGAGTCTCCCAAAGCCACAGATCCGCTTTGCTGCCCTTCCTCCCTGTGACATGTATTTTGTTTGGACTTTTTCTGCTAATCTTCAGGAAGGCTGGAGCTGGCAAATGACTCGGGACTCGCTGAATGTGTTTCCACAACGGGTGAACTCAAACCTGAGCTGGAGAGCTTTAAAGCACGTGCAGTTCCAGCTGGTAAGGACACAACAGACCTTACCCATATGTACAATGGAACACTAAAGATGGAGGAAAGGGTTTTAAACAAATGTAAACACTATTAACAGATTTATGCAGAACAGACAGCGTCCCTAACAGTGACACCTTGAACAACAGGAAGCAGAGCAGGCAGGACTAATAAAGAGGAAGAAAAACATCTTTTTTTTTTTTTTTTCCTCCCCCAATGGAGAAACAAATGCAAGATTTGGAGCAAAAAATGGGGCTCTGCCTCCTAAGCTAAAACCTCTACAACTTGAAAATATCTCAGAGAAACCATGGATCATTGCTGCATGCCCCAGTAAAGAAACAACAAAGAGCACAAAGAGCAATCAAGACAGAACGGGGTTATCTAGCACCTCATCCAAGTCATGGGTCACAATTAACCGTGGGATTATTAAATCTAGGCCACTCAAATTCTGAATAAATCAGTAATGAGCCCAGATGCAGGATGATTTCCCTGAACAAACTGTTAACATTCGTCTCCTCCGTCTGTCTCCGAGATAAGGGGAGTCTCTCCCTCATTCCTCCCAACAGTCTAACAGTTTGCCTGCAATGCTTGGTAAATATTGTAAAACTCTCAGAATGAAGATGAGTACAAAACATAACACTAATTCTGCCATCATCTGTCATCTGTTTTACTGCTGTTCATGTTGTGCTGTCACTTTTATTTCATTATTCTACAATGCTATCCCATATAACATTTAAATCTTCTGGTCCAGAAGATTACAAACAGATTGGATAAGAAGAAAAACATTCTGAAGCAGAATCATGACTTTCATAGTCTCATCAATTCCTCTTAATGCATTAATCTGCAATCAATCTTCCAACTATGAGTCAACTTCACTGAACTGTTTTTTTTTTTTTTTCCTTCTCTCTCCAGGGAAAACGTGGAGCCCTTGCACACTTTGAAATGAATTCCCAGACATGAGAATGAAACAGCTCTTCATTGATCTAATAAAGACAGATGAGATGTTTGTTCTCTATAAATTTCAGCTACAACACACACTCCTCTACTGTTATTTAAGAAGTACGGGGGGGAAAAAAAATGTAGACTTACCCTTTATGAAATATTTCAAATTTAATTCCTTTGGTCTGAATCACTCGTCGGAAACCTCTATGATTTCGGTTGATGTTCAGCTTGAATAACTGGTTATACTCTGCGGTCAAGATACAGAAAAATGAAAGCAACTTGTGAAAGTCAGTAAACTAAGTGCAGTGCTCTACTGTGTGCATGCACTTAGATCTCTGCCATTTAAAACAAACACTTGACACTTAGATGATCCCTTCTCAGGAGGTTATTTCTGCCATTTATAAGTTAAACAGTAACCATGTGCAACAGTTCATCCTTAGGAGGTGACAGCAAGTTACAGGAGAACCAAAAGTGGGTAATCTGGGTCTGTGATGACACAGTAGCTGCTGCCAATATTGGGAGGCAGAAGAAAGGCCACAACAGCTAGATTTCACCTGCTAACAAACCCTTTCATGACAAAGAAAAATAAGCAGGAAGGGAAGGTCGTCTGGCCTAATTCACAATATGAGACTAGCCTGTACTTTCTAGTGATTCCTTAAGGTGCAATGTTTCTCTCTCTGTCCCAGAAAAGGTACTAACCTGGAGAATTGGTATTTTTAATTACAGCTGTTTTGCTCTTCTGAGCTTGCTCCTATTAAAAGGAAGAGACAGACAAAAGGACATTATATAAAGTCATGGCAGATATTGTTTCAGTGTATGCAGTAGTAACCATTTTTATTATCACTCCTTTTTTATAACTATACAAGAAACATGAAGTTTAGGGTGCTTTCTGGACAATAAGAGCAGCTGTGGTACATTCAGGATTAAAATATTTGGAATTCATTGCAGTAACAAGTATAACACTAGATAAAGAATAAGCCAAAACATTAAATTAAATACAAGTGCCACAGATAAGCTACATGGTCCCACTCAGTTCAATCCAATCATCATAAAGCTTCTGCCTGTTGCTGCTAAACTACATGATAAACTACGTACGTTCCACGAGACAGTAATTCTGTTCCTTCTGCATTCACTGGAATAATAAACTTGCGGTGCTACACATGGAATTCATCACAAATCATTCAGGGAATTGCCCTACTATTATTTTGCCTGACAATCAATCTGCCACCAAAATGAATTAACTTTTAACCCAAAGCAGACTACGAACTAAATCGCTGGGGACTGAACAAGGACAATGTGACCTAATTATTGCAGCTAATTTGCAAAAACGATTTTAGCTATGAAGGAGAAAGGCGGTGTGTTTGACTGTTGGCTAAGTGGTAGAGATGTGGCTTTTTTAAGCAAAGGAAAATAGATTAAAAGCATGCTCATTCTTACTTATTCCCCAAAACATTACTCCTACAGACCAATCCTGTTTTCAGTGACCCTTATGGACTAAATCTGTCCCTCAGCAACTTCCCATAGGTAACTAAGCTTATCTCAGTGGAATTGCTGCAAAATTTATTAGGAGGTAAAACCTAGGCTCTGCACTGTCATGGAATAAATATTTAGTGCAAAAGTGCAAACATTTTTTACCCTATGTGGAGAATAAGAGAAGCTTCCAGCAGTTCTGCTGACGGCCATACTAGATGGTCCTCTTTAGCGGTCCTTCTAGACCCAGTTTCCATGTTTTTTGGACCAGAAACTACCTTCAAGGGGATGGTATCAGAAAGGTTCCAAATATGCTTAACACAGAAGCACATCAAATAACAAAATAGTGTGCATTCAGTATAAAACAGAAGATTACTAAGGCCAAGAAACTTGCATGACCCAAGTCCTTTCTTCAGATATGGACACATATTTCCTAATCAAGTCAAAAGGAGTCATGTGCATTTAACTGAGGACAAAGATTAGCCTTTTCAATTTATTTCTATAATTGAAGAGGTGTCCCAAAGTATTTAAGCTTATTTTCGCTAAGAAATGGGACTTGGAGGGAGATCACAGCTCAGGTATTCCCTCTCCACAGTGAACCTGTATGCCCTCATGCTTGAGGGAAGTTGACAGCGAGTTTGCTCTTCTCAAAACAGAATTTCTACAAATCTTGCAAGCCCTGGAGACCATCTGATTAGTGTCCCCATGAAACAAAAGTGGGCACAGCTCAGCCATGGGGAATGCTCTTTGACAGTAAGCTTGTCAGCCAGCCAGAACACACTGAAGTCTGAAGCAGACACCACACTGCAAAGTGTAGGCGTAAGGAACGCCGAGGGAGAGGTGGAGCAGAGCTCAAATCTGCAGGAAACAGATTCAGCAGTTCTAATTTTCACAGAAGAGGGGGAAGATCAGAGAGCATGCCTAGAAGCATTTTCCTTTTCTAGAAGAAAGCCTGCACTCCTTCCTTGAAGCCCCTGCAAGCTAATGCAGTAGCAAAGGTCACAGACCGAGGAGGAGCAGAGAGCCAGGACACACACTCACCACATTCGGGTACTGAAATTCAAACTTCACAAATGCATCCAAATCGCTCGGGGTCACACCTGAACGAGACAACAACCAGGCAATCCAAACAGGTCATACAGATGTTTTCACTGCATTTGGAGTATCAAGCAGGATTCTTCCAGAGCATCTAACTGATTTTCAGTAGGACTCACTACCTGTCACATAATTTCTGCAGAAACATCTACTGTGTTAATGCTCTCCTGAGTCCTGGGACAATACGGCACAGGTGGTTCTTAAGTCCCCAGAAACAAGGGACTGAAAACAGCAACGCTGGCAGAAGTTGGCCCTACTGAAGGGCCAATACACGTCAAGGTGCTGCAGACTTTCAGAAGGCATTCATAGCAAAGTGAGATCCACACAGAACCTGAATCAAGACCCAGTTACGAGCAAATACAGCACAACTTGAAGAGTACTGAACTTGAAGAGTTCTTCTATCCAGATGGAACCCAAATTCTCCCCCCTTTCTTTGCTTTTTAATACTGCTAAAGTTTTTTTTTGAATTTGAGCCTGAAACTTGGTTCATTTTTGTTTTCATGTATGTTGGTCACAAAGGTTTGGACCCCTCACATGGTCTTCAGAAAACTTATTCCCTGCTACTTTCCATATGTATCCAGAGAGGAAGTCCACAAGCCCTTGTGAACACATACCTGGAGGAGCTGGTAAGTTTATTCCCCTCACAATAAGAAGGTGCATTTCTGTGCTGTTGAGCTCAGAAAATATCCTGTGAAAATATAAAGACACAAGAAAGTACATTCACCTCAGTAGCCTCAGACCTCCTGATCTATTCCTAGACCAGAATGCAGTTACTATTTGTCAGACCTTTACCAAATATGAAAGGAATTAAAAATCAGAGAGAAAATAGCTTACCCCTACACAGGTCTTTCAGGAATTACCAAAGAGCACGGACAGAGCATGAGCAGAAATAAAACATTTACAAGGCATAATGAAAAAAATGCCATGAACAAAGCGCAAAGACACCAGGACTGAGTGAGAAAAACAGAGGAAAGAAGAGTGGCTGAAGTGGCAAAGTGTGAGAGAAGAAGAGAGAGACAAGAGATGAACATGGAGATGTTTTGAAAATAAAAGAACCTCAAACTCAAGCTAAGAATAACTTAATATTCAAATGGTTAGGAATGACCTCTCAGGAATACTGAGCTTAACCCCACATCCCATCCGTGTTTGCTGAAGCCATAAATTCCCTAAACAAGGGCTAGAAACCAGCAAGTCATTCTAAGCTGCCTGAAAGGTCCCTTAGTTTTTTCCCACCTTATCATTTTAAAGGTTCTTTCCTCGAAGTGATGGCTTGGAGGATCCATTCCTTGTGCTCGTGCAAGCTGTAGGATGTCCATGTCCTTTTTACAACCTTGTGCCAGTTTTTCAAACCTATGAAACAGCAGCAGAAAATACACACAGAGATGGGAACAACAAAATAGCACTCTTTGTACACAGACTAACCCTCAGACAAGAGGTAACAAGCAGCCCGGAGATACAGGCCTTGAAGCAATTAATTCTTCACACAATGAGACCCTTTACCATTCTTGCTCACTATCATCTTTAGATTAGGCAGATTCAAGTCTGAACTGACCACACAACAAGATGATTAAAGGCAGGCAGCAGGTCTTACCGACTCGTTTCTGTCACATTTCCCAGATGCATGAACTGCTTGGAATACTGCAGGCACCTCTATCAGCAGAAACATAACAAACACAAGTGTGCTTAATGATCCTTACATGCAAATTCATGATTGACAAGAGTTTTGAGGCTGATGCAAACCTTATTTAAGGAAAGCCATGAATCCAAAGTTTGCCTAAGTCACTAAAACCATCAATTCCGCCTGTCCTTTGAACTTGGAGCCGAGCAGAGCATTTGAGCAGCTCCATCATATATTACTCTTTAATCATTTAATTTCTAGAGATGATCTTCAAGTGCTAGTCTTTATCATTTGGGAAATATTTTTAAACTCGGGGTTTCAAAACCTTTGAGCACACCCTCTCACTACAAACCAAAAGACACCCAGCTCAATCTCAACTTAGTTCGCAGACAGCTATTGCAAATATTTTTAAAGGAGAAAAAGCAAAAACCCCACAGAAACAATTACAACTGTTACTGACAATATCCAGAGAAATATTACAAAAAAATCCTAGAATCCTACATCCTAGAACTCCCAAGCAATGATGAAGTACTAAAAGGAGAAAATAGACACCTCATATTGGTCCTTCAGCAGTTTTATGAGTTGGGTGTATACTTCATCTGCTTTCTGGGACAGCCTGATGTCTTCATGGTGAATGAAGATAAAATCACCCTCATCATCTGTAGGGGGTGATGGCAGCTGCAACACAAAAACATAACATTTCAGAGCCCTTGGAAGAAACAATGAAGAAGACAAAAAACAGCAGAATGAACGGAAAGGTCAGTGAAGGAGGATAGGCCATTTTCTTCTCAAGGTAATTCCAATTGGGAATGGGCTTTCCATTTGGGCTTTCCAGTGGGCCATTTTCTTCTCAAGGTAATTCCAACCTAATCACTATTTATACCACCATGTGACAACTTCTCAAGCCCTAAGAGCCTGTAAAATGTCCTCCAGGCCTATTTTTTGGACTATTCAGGCCATCAGGGCTATTAGACTGCAGTAATGGCTTTCCATTTGCCCATGTAGCAAGAGAAACCATCTAGTGATCATGTGTGCCTGATTCTCACCCCAAAAGGGAGCTAGGACATGGTCAACACCTCTGCTCGTAACCTAAACCCAGGAAATACTTCCAAGCTCCATTGGAAGCTGTTGTATACCAGGAACCAAAGCGTTCACGAAGACTGAATTTTATCAGTCTGGAACACTTGAGGAACAGAAGAATAAAAACAAAAACAAAAACAAATCAGAAAATCAAAGATATAGGGATATTACAGGGCTCAGTGTCTACACTTGCCACTTGAATAGTTTTAACCAAAAATTTGTTTCAAGAGATATTTTTGTTTAAACCGTTCACAAGCTGGGCTGAACTACTAGATGTCCAAACATATGGAACAAAGAATATGTTATGAGCAGTTCTACTAACCTTGGAAATATCAACAGGTTTGCCACATTTTGCTTGCTCAATCTTTGGGTCAAAGCTCTTCGCTATTCTGAGATATATTTTAGCCTGCTCAAGGTTGTTTGCCTTCTTTGCTTTGACGGCTGCCTTCATGTATTGCTTCTTTCTGTTCTCCAGAAAGTCCAGCTGTTCTCTAGCTGAAAAAAAACAGTATTATAAAAAACGTCACTCATCTGACACAACTATGCCCCTGAAACAGGTTTATCGTGTTCAGTTTACAGCTAAAAAAAGGTCAGTAAAAGTACATTTATCAACTAAGGACACTTCCTGACGTACTTTATTGCTTCACAGACAGTTTCAATTTTAACTATCAGAACAGAAAACAATCCAACCTCCTTCCATCATGACATCCTCCATCAAAAACTTCACAGCACTTGACAGAAAGAAAGAATTGTATTTAAAGTGTTACAAAAGAAATTGCAGTCCCCAATGGCAGACAAGAGACAGAGACTATAATACAGCTGATAAATCAGTAAGAAGCTGAATTCAAACTTTCCACTTGACATTTTAACTTCTGAAGGAGGGTGAATATTATAAAAGCATATGAACCCCAAAAATGCATCTTCTGTGCTCCATTTCTTTTGTCTCCTTTGATCTACCAGAGAAAGCAAATGAGCCAAGATGTGAGTGCATATTCAGACATTTCCAGCTCTGCTTATTGGTAATTCCTTGCCATTTTACTTTCTTATTAATTCCTAGATTTCCTCTTCCTTTCCCAAAACAGTAAGAGTAATCACACAAGTAAGGAAAAAAATCACTTTACAGGGTAGCAGGACATCCTGCTTCTACACTTAATTGCTGAAAGGGTACAGCATGAGCCAAACACAACCATTTCCAGAGATACTCATATTGTATTCACGACTGCACTCCACTCATGATTACATAAGCTAAACAAGACTTGCAAGAGCTGCCTGTCTCAGCAAATATATACACCAGCCAAGCCAGTCAAACTATCACACTATTTTTACCGCTGTCAGATGACTATCAACTTACTCCCATCCTCACAAAAAAGCCTGCAGTCCTGCTGCTGTTAGCAATTTGCCCAGTCAGCCCAGACCAAACTAATTAGATAAGGTAGCTATCCCAATTTTTACTGAGTCAAAACAACTGGGACACAGTGTGCTCTCTGAGGCTGAGACACAGAACAGAGGTATTTTCAAAGAGAATCTGTGGAAAATGGACTGAGAAAAGCCCTTCTGTTCTGCTCATCTTGGCTCCTTGATTTTCCTGGTGCAGCCATTAAATGCAACTGTTCCACTCCACTCCCACACCTCACTTTGCTCTCCTATGAGAACAGGTTTTCACAGTTGATTTATCAACTGTGAGCAGCTGCAAGCTGCACTTCAGGATTCTGGGGAAAAAAGAGTCACATTGGGATCACAAGATGTACTATGGCTACTATTTTAAAACTCAGAACATCCAGGAGAGATTAATGGGTAATCACCACTTGAGTTTGAGACCAGGTATTATCAACCCCTTCACTGAGTTTTGTGGGGCAATTCATTAGAGACTAATATTCTAGCTAAAAGGACACAAACCAAATCTTGTGAAGACTCATAGATTTTCAGAACGGGATTGTTACTATATTCTGAGCAGTGTCCTTCATAAAACAAGTAATGGAATTTCCAAGAGAAAGGGGTTATGAGCTAATTGTGGTGGCACTGCGGAAGGCCTTTGCACTCTGCATCAGCTGAGGCAGTTCTGCTGTGTTTTGGCAGAACTCAAGGCAAAATGAGAGGAAGACAGGATTATGGTTAAGCCACAGCAACAGATTCAGTGAGCCTCACCTCTCCTGCTGCTGCGTGCCCAAATCACAGTGAGGTGGTAATTTACTATGCACCACTGTTTCCCTATCCGTACAACTAATCTTGTACAGACAACTGTTCAGTGACCTTAGAAGAGTTGCAGAGATTGATGAACTATCATCTGCAGGCCAGTCTAAGATTCTAGTATAAAACACTAGGCAGAACCTGCTGTTTGAGATAGGAAGCTGCATTAGATCGATGAATAATTGGCAGCCCCTGCACTCTAATGAGAATGTATCTGGAGTTAAGCTGTGAGCAGAATTAAACATTATGAATCAATATACTTATTACATCAGAATTGATTAAAAAAAACAATCATCCTTATAATTACACATACTGCCTCTAAGAAATAAAACCGCATGGCTGCTCTGGATCTACCCTCCAGCAGACACATATTGAGGCTCCTGTCAGAGGGAATCTGTCACATACTCACAGGCTAACATCTAAAGTACTGAAGAGAAGTAATGCCAAGGACTTGTGCGTGGATCTCTCAGAATGATGAACCCTTTGTCCTTACCAGATGAAGGGAGATGATCCTCTGACACTGCCTTGTCTGGGATGGAAGGTGTTGGGGATTTTTTCACATGCTCAGGAGAGCTTTCCTCCTCGGCTGCAGCAGATGGCACTGTAAAGGGCTTAACAACTTGTGTTGACTTTCCAGGCAGCTGAGCAGGCTTCTTGGCAACTGGGGCCTGTGTCAGAGATTCATTCTAACAAAACAAATAGAATTCTACGTTAAATGTATAAAATCTAACCCAGAGTTCAAGCATTAGCAGTCATGGTCTGCTATATTAGCCTTCTGATATACTTTTGAGGGGAATGTAACATTCCAGATAGAAAACTTTAACTTCTGGGGCTTTATAAGCAGGATTCCAGATAGAAAACTTTAACTTCTGGAGCTTTGTAAGCAGGGTGGTATCAAAAGGTAGTTGACAATGCAAGCATAATATATCCGCTATCTGCTGCTGAATCAAAAACAACAGTTCAATACGGTAGTGATCTCAAAGAGAAACAGATGCATGCAGGAAAAGAAACATCACACTCTACATCAAAATCTACTCTGGTTGAAAGCATGAATGCACCATCAGCAACAAAAAACAGAGAGTCAAAGAAATTAAACCGAAGTCTAAAGACTTGTGCAGCCTGCCAAGAAGCAGTAAGCTCTGAGCATCTGGAAGAGGCACAAAACAGGAGCTACTGGGAAGTAAGAAGGAAGTAAGTACTTTAGAACTATGTAGGGGGATGGCCAGAATCTGGGGAGCTGTCTTTGAAAATAAAGCCCACAAGAAAAATAAGCCAAACTCTGAACCCATGAGCTGACTGTAGACTGTGACTGTAACTCCAATCTCATTTATGTCTCTCTCTCTCTCTCTCTCTCTCATGCATATTACCAAGCAATACCAACCTCCTCTTCTTCCTCGTTCTCCTCCATGTTTGCCAGCTGGCTGGCACTTTCCAAAACGGCAGCTATTGTGCTGTTACCATCCGTTGTTGCAACACCAGGAATAGGGGGAAATCCTAAAGCAAGAAAAGAATATACAGATAAATAAAACTGCATAAAACCATCAACCACACCAGTTTCAGCCTAAGAATTAGGCTTAGGATCAGATCTCCCATAGATATTAAGGCTTGAAGGGATGGTGCCAAAATGATGCAAAAGCAGCATGGCTTTTTAAGTTCAGCAGCTGGCATCTACCACATAGCCTTGCAACCCCAAGACTTCAGCAAGAGATACCCTCAGCACCAAAGAATTTACTACCTCTCTTTTACACACAGGATAGGTAGTAAATTTTACCCAAATTTGCTGCCTTTTATCACTCTCTACTGCCTCAACTTCAGCAAGAGATACCCTCAGCACCAAAGAATTTACTACCTCTCTTTTACACACAGGATAGGTAGTAAATTTTACCCAAATTTGCTGCCTTTTATCACTCTCTACTGCCTCATCTGAGTTGGTAAGTGATCCAACAGAAGAAATCTACTGTCCCATGTAGTAATAAACAATACATCACTGAAGTCCAGATAATGCACCATAACATTAGCACTTGAAGACTATGTTGAAAATCCACTGCAATGCAGAGATTGCAAAGGAAGGCAGAATCATAGTAGTTAAATGTGAAAAGTATTAAGAACTGTCCTGATAATTTTATTAGCCTTTTAAGGCTAGGAAGAAGGCTTGATGATGGAAGATCAATCCTCACTTTCATGCTACCCTCTGAGCACCAGTTTCAATCAGTATACACCCAGAGGGACTACTGTAAAATATCTGTTAATAAAGTTTGTATCATTAAGATGTAGCAATATTAATCTTGTTACAAGATTACTTGCAACATCAAAAGTGTCAAGAAATAACAACTGAATTGCTTGTGAGCCTAGAGATGGCTATACAGGCATAAAATAATGGCTGGAAAACATGCAGCTAAAACGCATAGGGAAATTGGGAAGTTAAGCAATATTTTCAAAAGTTTAAATTTGAAGGACCTTCCTCCTACAGAAAGTGATATTTACCAGGAAATGGATCCTGTTCTAGAACAAAGGTTGCTAAATTGCAGTTCAGGGACTGTTGAATACTAGAAATACCTCAAAGCAGCACCTGACAGAGGCCTGACAGCGGCCTGACAGTGTTGGCACTTCCTCCTAGTATACTCACCTTTGCCACAACCTGGTGGTGATAGTAAAATAAATAAAAAAAAAACCCACAAAGTTTACGCTCCTTTTCAATGAGATTTTTTTTAAAGAGACTAAAGAAAAAAAATGTAAACATATTACAGGTACCACTTTGCAGTGCCATCTTTCTACCACAGGAACAAATCAGACACAAGGCTGAAGCAGTGAAACTTCCAAAGGGAGTGCGACAGAAACAGCTAGACAGTAGATAAAGCCATCCAGAGGTGGAGGACTCGTAGACCACCTTGCCCAAACCTTTAGACTCACTACTATACATGCTGAAGAAGATAAAAACAGAGCACAGTGACCCCAGTGACTCAGTTTCTGCCTTTGTCACTGCCTCAGTGCAGTCATGGACAGGATTCACTTCATCTCTGCATATTATTTCTACTAGTCATGAGAAGAGAACTGCAATACTCATTTGCCTCAGCTGTTGCAAAGGGATGCTTAGCTAAACATAGTGTTTTGAGGCTCCTGTGGAGAGGGAATAGCATGTTAGATAAGTAAGATTAGGATTTTTTTTCCCAGATTTTTAAAATCTCCTTCCATTAAGCTAAACAGGCTGCCCAGAGAGGTTGTGGAGTCTCCTCTGGAGATCTTCAAAACCCGCTTGGATGCAGTCCTATGCCACGTGCTCTAGGTGACCCTGCGTGTGCCAGGGGGTTGGACTAGATGACCTCTAGAGGTCCCTTCCAACCTTAAACATTTTATGATTCTACGATATCTCCAGTTTATTATTTCCTCTAAGAGGGCAAGCACAGTAAAGAGGAGGGGCATTTTCAGCACATGCCTACAGTTAAATTGCTGAACTTCCCAAATGGGGCTGATACTGCCAAACAGGTAGTCAGGGCCCAGGGATATTCACTAGTGAAATTTAAGGAGCATATTAATAAGAAGCTTCACAGCAGATTCTTCAGTGCCATTGAAGGGCAAGGCTTCATACTCCATAAGGAAAGAGAAGAGCTGTTCCACAGGGTAAGAAGGCTCTATCTACACAGCTCTTACAGTGCTCTACAAATGTACAAGAGTTGGTATTAGGACTTTTTATATTCACACTTACCAGGAGGAACAGGTAGCTCAGAAAAATCCACTTTTCTCCCTGCTTTATGGGCTCTTATAGCATCTTGGTATTGCTGTAATGAAAGACACTCATTAAGACATAAAATGGAGTTGGCTATAATAATTTAGCAATCATCTACATTTTTTCAGCACAAATGCTGAAAAATATAGAGTATTGTGCTATAAAACTGTACATGCATATCACTGCCCTTTAATTCTGAAGTCAATGCTACTTCATTGATTATTTGTACCTGTTTCTGAACAGTAGAAACGGGAAGGCAAAATGCTGCTTTTAAAACCCCAACTTCCCTAAAATTTTTAATCTCTAAGTTACCTCATCCATATACTACAGACTTTTTACCAGGCAGAAATCTTTGGATTGGAACTCAGTTCTGCAACTTCTACAGCTCAAACACAGGCACAGCATTACTTAATTCTTCTGTCATGGGAATCCAGAGATGCTCTACCTCCTTCTTAATCACTACATACAGCATATATCTCAGAAGTACTTTCAGCAGAGCTCAACACCAGTATTTTTGTTTCTCCTTCCCCTGAAGGCTTTACTGCTTCCCAACTGGAGCTCTTTTCAACTTGAAGGATGATAAATAAATTACTTCAGCTTTTAAAAAGCCTTAATCATGAGCATTACTTAAGATGACTTTGCCAGAAACAAGCAACTTGCTACACTTTCCTTTACCTTGGCTATCCTCTCGTGCATCCTGCCTTTCCGATCATCTCCACTTGCTTTAGCCTGGGCTGCTGCTGACTTGTACTTCTCAAGCCTTTGTTGCAATGCTTCCAGCACTGTTTTTGGCTGCAGGTAAGCTTGAAATAAGAGAGATAATAAATGCCATGTGATTCAGATTTCAGAATATATGAATTGTTTCTTCCTCTCACTTTTTTATCTGCTGCAGAGTTTAAAAAAAAAAAACACACACACAACAACAACAAAAAAACACCAACCAACCAAAAAAAAAATCAGCAACAGTGCAAAACTTTATTAAGAATACAGTTCTTCTAAAGAAAGTTTACTTATTTTTACTTCCATTTCTGATCCAGAAAAACAGTACGAATGTGATCAGTAGCAAACAGTATAAGGAATATTAGCCAGGTATTTGGGATCCTACTGTGGGACAGTCCTTGTAAATGTGTTCCAGACCAGCTACTTTTATGCCTGGGCACATAAATCCTATGTCCTACCTGAACTGTCCTCGGTCTGAGGTCCGGGTGTTGTAAGATCCTGGGAACTTCCCATAGGAGTTCGTATCCTCTGCTTAGATGTAGCTTGTACGTTTTCAAGATCTGCAAAAAAAGGAAAGCAGGAAGTTTCATAGCATATTACATAAACAGCAAGTCAGCCTATGTTAGTCAGTTTGATCCCATAATCTTCCAGGAAGTTGTTTGGCTTCAAACCTGTATGCGGGTGGCCAGGTAAATCTGAAGTTCACAATACTCCAGTCTTTTAAGAATCACCTTCCAAAATACAAGTTGGTAAAATATCCTAGTAACAAAAGATGTGCTGAAATGGGAATGCAAGTAAGACTGTCAATTAAGACATCCCAGTTTCCACAGTCGTGTAACAGTGAGTATTTTAGGAACTAGAAAAAAAAATAATAACAGAAAAAATCTTGGGACTTCTTTATATATTTTTATATCATGGTTGAAGTGTCTCTCATTCCAGCTGGTGATCAGTTTTTAACTTAAGGAGCCATAATCTTTGTGATTTTATTCTTAGAAGTGAAATAAGATAGTATTATTTTATTTCAATAAATAACCTACTACTTTTACAAAACAGTAAATAAAACACTGAGTTCCAGAAATCAACTGTTAAGATGGTGGTGGTGATGCTAGATCTACTAATAAGAAATTAATAAGAAGAAATAAGTTCACATGAATTGAAATAACTTTAGTTTTGGTAACTGTTTTAGGGCTTTGACTTCAATGCACTGAAGTTAACCATATTCTGCCCTCAGAATGATTGTGTTTATTAATTTTGTAATCTGAAGTGTTATGAACTTTTGTTGAAATGTGTAACACCAAAAAATACAAAGGCAGAACATAAGATTTTGCCATTACCCTCTTGTGTTCCACTTTAAAGCAATAGCTACTATTATCTCAAGGTATAAGAATGAGAAAATTACACCTTCATGTTTGCTGGAACTGAGCTGGTATATTTTTATTGAATAAAATATTTTTTAGGTTTTTATCTTTTCTCCATGTAACTAAGGTCAGAAGGAAAGTCCAAGGGAAAAAAAAAGAAAGCAATAAAGTTATTTTGAAAGCTCAGAATGTTCTTTACCTTTAACTTTCTCTCAATTTCTCTTTAACTAGGAGTTTGCAATAGAAGAATATTTAGAACAACTTTTTGAGTATCAAAAAGAATACCCCACTGCACATCCCTCTGAACCACAGATGGGAATGTATCACTTCCGTTGTTGATACAAACTCAGAATCAAGTAGAAATACACACCAGGAAAATAAAAAACAACTAGGGGATTATACAGGGAGAAAAAGAGAACCACAAGCTTTAAGACAGAAAATTTTATTTCTAGGGTGTATAAGCAGATAAAATGATAAGTTACAAAATTAAGCAGCCATTACGAGCACACAAATCAGAAGAATGCGCTGAAGGGGACATGATAATGCTCTATTGGTTAGCCACAAATTGGAGATGTTATGGAAATTAACTCTGTGAAAGAGGAACCAGGATATAGTAATATGAAAAATACCTATATGCTGCTACTAGAAGTCCTAAGCATTCATTTCAAGCCCAGACAGGTCAAGAGAATAATTTTAAAATAGGTTATGATACCTCATTTTTCTTTGATAGTCTTGATGAGAATTTGAGTATGCAGTAAACTTCAGACTTAAGTGATCTTTAGCTCTGCTTACAGTTTTGCAATCAAATTCAGAATCATTCCATTACACAGAAAGGCTTCTAAGAGAGTATCTGTAAGACGAACCTTACCTTGGGGAGATGGTGGCAAATTCTGGAGGTCTATTGGCTCCCCACTGTCCAAAGCTTCTAGGACCACATTAAATTTCTAATGGGGAAAAGCAAAAAGTAAGATTTATTCTAGTATGTCCAGGACTTGCTGGATGCCACAAAGAACATCTGACACTCAGGGAACACATTAGTATTTCATGTGGGTAGTGCACAGTAGTTCAACATTCAGATTCCTGACAGAAACCTAGATTTTCTGTGTACCTTGCCTGTCTTCATATACTCCTTTGCTTTCTCCAGGTCCCCTCGTTGCTTGGCTTTGAGAGCTGCTACTTTATACTCCTTCTGCCTCATAAGTAGTAGTACCCGTGTGCTGCTGCTCTGAAGATCTGTGGAATGTGGAAGTGAACACTACTGAGACTTAAACAAAACAAGTGAGATGTATATCCCTTCCTTTCCTCATCTACTCCAAGTGCTTAATCCTCTTTTGCTTTGAATCACACATTCCCCTAACAAAGACCCTTTTCTTCCAGCTCCCAGAAGCCCAATCAGACATGACAATCTCACTTCATAGAATGCTTGAGGTTGGAAGGGACCTCTAGAGATCATCTAGTCCAACGGCCCTGCATACGCACGGTCACCTAAAGCACGTGGCACAGGACTGCGTCCAAGTGGGTTTTGAAGATCTCCAGAGAAGGAGACTCCATGAGCTCTCTGGGCAGCCTGTTCCAGTGCGCTGTCACCCTCACTGTTAAAAAATTTTTCCTTACGTTCACGTGGAACTTTTGATGCTTCAGTTTCCGGCTGTTTCCTCTAGTTTTGCTGGTGGCCACCAGTGAAAAGAGGCCAGCACCATCCTCCTCACTGCCTCCCTTACTTATAGGTAAGGTACTTATAGACCCTGACCAGGTCCCCTCTCAGCCTTCTCTTCTCCAGGCTGAACAGGCCCAGCTCCCTCAGTCTCTCCTCATAGGGCAGATGTTCCAGGCCCCTGATCATCCTCGTAGCCCTGCGCTGGACTCTCTCCAGCAGCTCCATATCCCTCTTGTACTGTGGGGCCCAGAACTGGACACAACACTCCAGATGTGGCCAATGAAACTTCCCAATGAAATGTCTTTTATTTAAGATATCAAAACCTGTTAAAGTACAGAATCCCCCATGTCACCTGTTGGAGGAGAAACTGAGGCACGGTAAAAGTTAAGTGAAAGATACCAATAAATTGCAGGCCAGTAGGGGGTCCCCTGGGAAGCCTTCAATACGCAGTGAATGAGAAACTGCAATCACAATGTCAAGACTCTATTAAACATATCTGATCTCATGGCTGACCCAATTTGAAATATTTCGCTGGGAAGTTCTACATAAGCACAACACAGTCCCTTGCTACAGATTCAAAAAAAAAGTAACATTGAAAAAACACTGGAACTGCTTATCCCCTCTGAACATCATACCTGTTTCCACAGTAGAACTCGAAGCAGCATGACTCTGTAGAGACTCCAGCTCCAGATGCTGCTCTGCATCATGCGAGGGTTTCTGCTCATGCTCTGCAGCAGACTCCACTCCCTTCTCTTCTGGGACACTGGCTGAATCACCTAAGTTTTCTAGTTCAGCTCCTGTGGGTTGAGGTACCTGAGAAGCACTCTTCCCTGTTGCAACAGGAGGTGGAATTTCTTCCTCACTGACTTTTTTGCCTTTCTTCACTGCAGCCAGCATTGTTTCCAGTGTCTGGCAGAGATGGAAGGGCAAAGTCAATAGGCATTTTCATTAAATATATGGCAGGTGTAATATCATCACAATATTTGTGGTGAAAAAGGATAAAACACAAAAACTGAGCTGCATTTAACCCATGCTAAAAATAGTGAATGTGTCTGTCCAACAGTTCTAGGTGTTGAGGTACTACTCAGTTTCAGAAACTCGTTGCCGTCAACCCAAGGCAGCAGATTTGAGATTAGCATCCCTTAGCACTCCCTGCTTTTCCGCAGGGGCATCTGGAGTACTGCTGTCAGAGTAGGCAAAGGCGCTCAACTGTCAGAGCAGCCCAAAGTAAAGGAACTATGAATGAAGGAGAGCAGCCCAGCACTTGCTGGCATGTCCTCCAGCTAATTAAGGCATTGTCAGTTGTGAAGTGAGATCTAGTCTACTATCTCTAGCTACACTGCTTAGGCACATGGAAACTCCTTCTCTTGAGAAAAAAAAAAAAAGAGAGAAAAAGAAGTGGCAAACAGAGCTTTTACTTTGTGTATTGGATAAAGACAGGATGGCATTGCTATGCCTCTTGCCCTCCAGAAGATTTCATGTATATTTCTCTTCAGAGCTAGCAGACTGTGGACAAACAGAAACCTCCATCCTTGTGCGTTTCCTTCTCTGAGTTTTACCTCACTTGTTCCCTTAATACTTCAAGGTACTTAGTAACTAGTCAGACATTAAATTCGTCCCTCTGTGGACACTGCCGAGCTATAAAGCTTTACTCAACAAGACAGAGTTAGCTGCTGTCTGAGGTGAGGTAGGAGAGCATATGAAAGCAGGCAGGGAAATACAGACACCCCCGCAGAGCAGTGATCCCAGACGAAGGGCAAGCACGCCACCTGGCTGGGAGAGGCAAAGGCAAAAAACAGCTCCTCAGTGCAATTTGCAGTTGCCTTAATGAAGAATCCCATTCAAATCCCTTGGCACAGCCAACACACCAAGGGCAGGTATCACCTTCCTCTGCCACAAAGGACTGAGTGGAAAGTCAGTAGCTGAAGGAAGGCATCTGTGATGAACTGATGTGCTAGGAAAAGTCCTAAAATTTGCTTTAAATCAGCAATGACTGATTATCACAGGTCAAATGCATATCTACATGGATAGGTTTAACATAGGCATTTCCCACATCCCCTGCTTCCATGTACCAAAAGACATGCAACAGAAAAAAAGCTGATACCAAAAATAAATAAAGTTCACCTGCACATTTACCACGTCAGATCAGTGCTAAACACAAGATTTTTCTTCAAAGTAACTCAAGACAGCACACTAATTGCTGCATTTCTCTCTCCTTTTAACAAATTCACTGCATCACATATCTAGAAAGACTCTTACATTACAGCTTAAAGAATTGACTTTGCCTCAGTCACACACCTGATGAATCCAACTTACCTTAAGGCCTCTTTCATATCGGCGTGTTTTAGCACTCTCGCCCGACTCCTTTGCATTAGAAATTGCCGTCCTATAGTTAGCAATTCTACATTCTATTGTCTGCTGCAGTTCGCTGGTAACAGCAGGAAGTGAGGGGGTCTCAGAATAAAAATAATAGGAAAAACAGATCAAGAAAACTTATTTCAAACTAAGCAAGTCTTCCCAGAGCACTGAAAAACAAAAGTTCCTCTTCTGCACACACTTGCATTAATCAAAAGCGCAAGGACGAAACAGACTCTCTCGAACAGAAGAGCACTTGTACTGCACTAACAGTCTCTGGATCCACCTCTGGGCTCCCTCTCAAAGGCCTAATAGAGAAGGATGGGTGGAGACATTTAGGAAACTCTCAGTCACAGGGTAATTGGAGCCATGTGGTTAGAGAGTAGGTGTGGGAGAACAGTAAAGTCTCTCAAATACTGCAAAACAGAGGGTGTGAAAAAGTATTTTGGCATGTGGTTTAAATTTACCCTCCTCCCCCCACTATTTTTTTTTAATCATCATGCTATTTTTCTCCCTTCGGGGGAACTTCAACCTAACTTTACTACAAGAGTTCCTTCTTTTACCTCTTCCTACAGCCTGAGATTTTTCAGTGCCAAAAGCAGTCTAAGCAAAAAGTTACCAACAGCACTTATAAAGGTTGCTCCACAACTACAGAGACTTTTCAGATGGCTACTGAAGCAATTACTGCCATTATCTCTGTAGAAACGCCCCCACACCATTCATTAATAGACACAATGCATGAAGGCACTGGAGCACACAACAAAAACAGAGCAGTAAAGAACATAAGTGCAGGGGGATTGACAAATTAAGCTGGGAAAGCAAACACTGCTGAGAAAAATTCCACACAAGTGCTGAAGATGCTGAGTTACAAGAAGTCATTTCAGCAAACTGCTTAAGACCCAGTGGGGGAAGGCATGAATTTGAGAAGCTGGAACTGCAGTCTGGAGGCTCACACATACAACGAGACATGTTTGAATCCAGCTGCTTGCATCCTCAATCCTACATTAACATTAAAAATTCTACCTCAGAACAAAACACATCATTCAACTACATCACTGCAGCAACAGATTCCACAGAGTTTGCACAGCTTTACTGGAGAATAAGACCAGCTCTCTGTATCTCATTTGTTACCCTTGTATAAGCTGTATGATAATAAGAGTGATTCAGCAAAACAGAAACACGCAGCTCTTTCCCACCTGTGACTGCATTTCAGGCTGCTCATTTTCTGGCTGAACTGTGGATGAGTCCATTGCAATTGCTTCATCCTCACAGCTTGCCATCTCACCTTCCTCCCCAAGAACTTCTTGCAATTCTGCCTAAAAGAAAGTAGAAGAATGGCTGTCAAAAATGCTGCTTAGCACTTCTTCCCCAAGCCCTGCCAACCAGCTCACTCATTTAAATCTTAAAGAAATTACACTGGATATATTGTCTCAGGCTAAGGAATACCCAGAACTGTAACAAAACGGTCACAGACATCACTTTAAAAAAATGCCTGACAGCAAGATGCTGGCCTTACTTCACCAAGTGACACAAACGGGATTCACACTTCCTTCTACTCCTCAAAAATTCCCAAACATACAAATGCTACAACATTACAGATCTCACCTAAGTATTCTATCCATCATTCCACCTGGGGAAGAGAAGGCTGAGAGGGGATCTAACCAGTGTCTATAAGTACCTCAAGAGAGGCAGTGAGGAGGATGGTGCTGGCCTCTTTTCAGTGGTGGCCACCAACAGAACTAGAGGAAACTGCCAGAAACTAAAGCATCTAAAGTTCCACAGGAACGTAAGGAGAAATTTCTTGACAGTGAGGGTGACGGAGCATGAAACAGGCTGCCCAGAGAGGTTGTGGAGTCTCCTTCTCTGGAGATCTTCAAAACCCACTTGGATGCAGCCCTGTGCCACGTGCTCTAGGTGACCCTGCGTGTGCAGGGGGGTTGGACTAGGTGATCTCTAGAGGTCCCTTCCAACCTTAAGCTTTCTATGATTCTACAGTTTTATAATCCCACATAAGGCCTTGAACACTTTTGCTAAAAGGGATTCCTGAAAAAAATCAAACCAAAGAAACTCTAAAATTTTTTGCTGACAAAATCATACATACCAACAGGTCTGTATCTTTCTCCAAGTCATCATCCTCTGTTTCTTCATCATCTTCATTCAGGTCCTTCATACACTCTGCTGCCATCTTTTCAATATGATCCATGGGCAGAGGAGCTGCAAAAGGCAACCAGAAGGAGCCATAAACCCTAACAGGTATGTGGCCACCAGATGCAAATTCTTAAGGAGATGCTCCTGTTTGGGCACAGGCAGTGACTTCTTGCTTACTTCCTCTTTACCTAATAAAGGCTCTGTTCCTAAAGAAGAAGGCAAGGCCTGGAAAGAGAGTCCCAGAAATATCTGGTTCAAGTCCCACAGAAAATGAGACAGTGGCTCCCACTTGCTCCCCACACTGTCCTCTCTCCTATTTCCAACTGAGGTTTCACCTCCTCTCATTTTAATGCCTTTATTTTTCCCTGTACAGCTCTCTGTTTTGATTTACCCAAACAGTTATATTTTCACCATTCTCTCTTTCCTACAGTCCATCCCATTTGTTTCCTTCAGCAAATGTTTGTTCTCCCTCTAAATTAACTCTATAACACTGTTTGAAGTAGGCTGTATCAGCACTGCATGAGATGAGTACAAGTCCTAAAAAGCAAGGAATAAAACTGAATCCTGGATTTATGTGCAACAGATTTTATGATTGAGATGAAACTTAATTCCAGAAAATGAATGTTTTTTCCGCACAAAATTAATGACTGACACCAAATCTGTAATTTTTTTTTTGCTAGTACACTTTGCCTGCAGATTGTATCAGCTGAGTCCTCCAAGAAACAGTCAAAATAGACACTGGGAAAATGTGGTAGAAGTGTGAATACACCATACCAAAATCTCTGACAGAATGCAAGTTCTCAACTCTTTCTGTACTGCTCTTAACTAAGGGCACAGGTAGGAACAGCTTCTCTACTCTGTCCCGTGTTCAGGTGACATCTGCAACCACAGCAGGCAAAAGTACATTAAGACTTTTTTTTTGAGCAAGTGTAATGTTAAATTCATCCAGATTTCTGTGTGAAGGATTATTATTTGAATAATGTATATCTGGAGATGTATAATGTATAAAGGGAGATCTACGTAACAGAAAAATCAACTCTGTTAAGAAATGCTCACATGCCTATTACTAGAGCAGATCCAGAGAATATACTAAAGACAGAATGCTGTCTGCCAGGAAGGAGAAAGAATTTAAAATGCGATCCTGGGAAATTTGATATTGCCAGATATCTGTTGGTATGAGCAAAGGATTTCACCAAACACAAAAGGAAAACCACCACTCCAATAATGGAGGCTCAGCTGATCTTCAAAGTAATTCTTCCAACCTGTAAGAAAGGGCAAAGATGTGACCAGGTAAGTTCAGAGCACTGCTTCTGTACGGGAGGTTCTGTTCACTAATAGCCACTGTGAGAAAGACAACTTTTCTCAAAAGATAGATTTCTTCTGCCAGCTGCCTAAAACTGCAACAGTCTATAACCAAAAACAAAGCAAAACTGTAAAGAAAGGGGGAAATGTAAAATTCCCATGTTTCACTTTGAAGATATTAGGTGAATCATAGGTAAGCGAGGGTACATTCATGGATAGAGGGGAAAGACTGCGGAAGTGAATATCAGGAGAAACTAATGCAGCTGGACGTAATAGTCAAGGCAGGCAAGAAGATAAGGAAAACGCATCTAATAATTTAGCTCAGAAATTGGATGACAGGGAGAAATAACTTCTGTTCACTAATACAAGGAACCTGACCAGCACTAATAAGTACCATGACTGACCATCAGGAATGGTGAAACACAACGCTGCTCTGAAAACACAGATGGTAAAGAAAGATATTGGGGTAGGTTTGCACAGTAAGGACATTTAAGACTGAGGAAAAAAGACAAGTTAATAACAGATGAAACAACTAGAACAGGATAAAAGTCCTAGAAGATACCTCAAGCTCCCAGACTGATTTAAGATATAGATACATATCTGTACTTATCTGTATCTATGATATTATTCAGCAAAATAATCTAATAACAGAAACTTTTATGGGAAGCTTCAATTCACCAAAGACAAAAACCAGAGAAAAAAAATGGCCACACTTGGATGTTGTTTCCAAAGCATATTTCTCAGCAAATAAATCACTGAAACAAGAGATGCGTGCTCATATTAGTCCTGGTAAGCAGTGACCATAATACAGAGGGATAAAAAAAATGCTAAGAAATAGAGGAAAATAGATCTTAAAAAAATGAAAACAAATGTTGAAGTGTTCTAGGCTATGAAGGAGTAAGTGGTCCTGCTAGTCAGGAAGACTTAAGATAAAACCCACAAATAATAGAACATTCTGTCTGCATTTTCAATTGGATTAATGGGAGATTATACAAACAATTCTGTGAAAGTGCAAGTTACCCCATCCAAAAGTACCAACCACCTTAATCTTAGCATGTTTAGGATGAAAAGGTAACAGATATTTTTATCTCAGAATATTAAGTGGCAAAAATGATTTCTAAGTCAATTCAGAGCTACAATATGACTAGGAAAAATATCAGTACCTACATTCAAGAGAAGATGAAGAAAAACTATTAAGGCAACTTCAGGTTTGCCACCGTATGTGATTTCAGAACAGTTCTTGAAAGAGAGAGAACACACAAAGATTGAGGAGGAAAAGGATATTACACAACATCTATCTACAAAAATACTTCAGAACAAAATACAAAAACTGCTATAAATCAGAACTCATCATCTGAAAATTAGGAAAATACCTGACTCTGCTAGCCAGGCTCACTGAAAAAAAAAATCTAGGAAAAAAAAATAAGCAACCCTTGCACATATCAGTCAATATCATTTCAATATAAAGTATTAACACCACTGCACAAGGCCTTGGGGAAACTTCATCTGGAACAGTTCTGATTCTTGATGGGTATTCTTAAGAAGAAAAATTTAAACAATGTGTATACCCATCAATTAGAACAAAGATCAAAAGAGTTACTGTAACCATAAATGCCCAGCTCAAAGAGCTCCCAATCTAACTACAGCAACCAGCTAAATCACTGGAATTTTGTACAAGGCCTGCGCTGCTTCTGGGACTTCAACAGCTCATCCACTTTCTCAATCTACAACAAAAGTACAAGAGTGTCCTATATCTCTCCTCCTCCCTGGCTAAAGATATGTATGCTTTGAAGACAGTAACACGTGTTCACATCAAGTCTAGAGACATACTGAACAAAACAGGCTATAAATTTACCTATGAGTCATTAACAGGACAAGAAAGGAGGAACAGCAAAACAAAACAAAACAAAACAAAACAAAAAACCCAACAAAACAGGAAGACAAGAGATTCTTTCCACCTGGAGGAACCACTTCCTTAACACATCAAGCACTACTTCAAGTCACACTTGTGATACAAAGATAAGTTGCTCTGTATCAAGACCACAAATTCATCCTCACGGAATGTCTTCTTCAATCCAGAGGAAGCAGCAGGCACAAAGATCTGTGGCACCGACCAGGAAGAGCGCTGATTCTCCTGCCTCTGTCAACGTACTTCTGCATTTTCTGCATCACCACCTCATTCTCCAAGCAAATTTCCCTTTCCTTGCATGTCTTTCTAGGCAAATTCATCCTGTAATTTCTCCTGAAGTTTCTGGCCTTTGCCCTGAAATCTCCACCTAACTCTTCCTTCCTGATTTCTCATCCCCACTGCACGCCGTGCCTAGCCACGGCTTCTTCTACCTGTCCTCTCCCCTTTCCCAACACAATTCCAAGGATGTGGTTATTTGTGTGCATGCACACAAGCCCTGCCTGTCCATGGAAGCAGTACACTTCCCTATGCAGACGTGACTGACACAATTCAGATTTTAAGGTACAGCTTTACCGCTGATTTGAAGAGATCTAAAATGCATTCCACCCTTCCGCTGCATTTGCTGAACCTGCTTGAAATTAGCCCAGGAACAATTATTTTTTCCATTCATATGATCTAATTTATCACATCACTGTGTGATCACTAGCATTGACAGAAGAGTGGTAAAAACACATTATAAGGATCATTTGCTTCAGCAGCAGCCTAACAACTTAACCTCTACCCACACTTGTTGTTACAAATAAAGAAGAACGTTAGTGCTTAGGTACTACATCACACACACTGCTTGTATATTTGACCCATGGCAAAAATCTGCAAGTAGGAGAGCTGACCACATCCAAAGGCAAACTGACCTTAGGATCTGAATGTCCCTTGGGAACAGGAGCTTCACTTACGTATATTCCCCCTAGCAAGGGAAAAGACAAGCAGGCTTCCACAAGGGTGGGTTCAGCTCTAATCCAGTACAACAAGTTGTGGCTACAATTCTCAATACATGTGGCAAACCAACTGCCATGTCGCAGTCACAGAGTTCTCTGCACTCAGGATCCTGCAGCAGCAATGTAGCTTTTCCTGCTGGCATTCTAGAGACCTAGGAGTCAGTAACTGCACCCTGTGCTCACCCCAGACCTGAGTGCCACTGCATACTGTGCTGGGTCCCTTTTCTGTTTCTTTCTGGATCTGTTTCTCTCCTGCATTTGCTGCACTCTTCTCCTTCCAGGCACTGCGCTGCAGCCTGTCCCTGCCATGTCCCCTCAAAACACTGCTGCAGCAGATGTCATCACCCTGCTGTACCTTCCTGCACCCCCTGCAAGCTTCTGGTCTAACTATTTCTAAGTCTACTGGGAGGGAAAAACAGTTTTACATTATACTAGAAAAACAGATGTATTAACCCTATTTCAAACCTTCAGAGAGCAGAGTAAATATTAACTTTCTGCTCATTCTCTCTGAAGTTTCATTTCCCTCTTATGCACAGAAAGACTGAAAAACACATTAAGTGACACAAAAAGGCCAACGGAAGTCCATATTTGAGAAGTAACAACAATTCAAAAGCTCCTGACAACCAGATTCATCCTCTGGGAGAAAACTGCTACTGCAGGTTTTCATCAAGAATAATCTATGCCCAAAGGCAGAATTTCTGCTATTACCACAATGAAAAATTCTGATCCTCTGAGAATGAAGACTCAGCGCAGCTACAGTTGCTTTGTGCCACTGAAAGTAAGTGCCTGTAGATCTGGTAATACAAACACCTTCGCTGTTCCCATACATGGGTTCAGACTACTCTTCTCAGAACAGACTGATCCATAAATCCTGAAAAAAGAGTATTATTTTAAACTATTAAAAAATAAAATGGCTATGAATGACTACACAGGAAAACATAACTGCAGCAACCAATTACAGTGAGTTAAGAACATCCAAAACTGCAGAAATATACATCACTAAAAATCTGCAGCTTATTATTATTAAAGGAGTTACTACTGTCTTGAAATCTGGTGAGTGGAAATGGTTTGGAATTTCATACTACACCTCTCACCAATCACAACACCAAATACTCTGATTTTCTGCATAATACAAGCCACAGACCTTCTTCCAGTAACTATATCAAGTCCACAATTTCCCCTTTAAAGGGATATTCCAGTTTGGTTACAGAATTGAAATAACAACAACAAAAAAAAAAACTATCACCAATTCAGTAAATTAATTCTTCAAACAAATCCTCCAAAAATAAAGAAAAAAAAACCTACCAAACAACCAACCCCAAACACACATTTTTCACTCTACAGTGATCTAGCTCCTACTTCAGCTTGTTACAACTTCATACTTCATTAAAAAGCCATCAGATATTTTCTTCCTATTTATGTTTACAAAAGCACAGATAAATAACTCTTTACATTTTTGTGCAGTAAAAACTTGAACTTTCAAAGTAAAGTAAACATATATATTGCAATTTCATCCTCTATTGGTCATGAAAAACTTTTTAGCAAGTTCAATGATTTATTAATAGGTATCTTCCAACAAATTATTCAGGTCTTCAATGAGTAAAACTCATAGACTTTAACTTACTTTTCCCTTTTGTTTTTGTCTTCCCTTCTGTCGCCTTCACTCCAGTGATAGCTGCCAGCTCCGCTTCTAGGTCCCCATCATCGCCACCTTCCTCTGCACCCAGCAGCATCTCCTCAGGATTAAAATCTACAAACAGCCCCAGCTGGAACCAAGGGAAAAACACTGTGGTGAGAACCGAGGCGACACTCAAAAATATCACACTAATGCATCACCCACAAATGGGTTATTTTAAAACGGCCCTTTGTAGATTCTGTAGATTCAAATTATCATGCCACTTCTATTACCAAAGCAATGTAGATAAGGCATCCATAAATGAAATGATGTATATGAATAACTTTGCTAGGAAGCAATTAATACTCTAAGACTGTATGCAATCAACCCAATCTCTTCAAATCTAATCTACTTAATAATTTGAAGTAAAAGGTGAAATAAAATGATGACTACTATATTTGCCTCAACAAGCATGGTTTTTTAGAAAAGTTCAAGGCTGTTGCTAAAGTAAAAGCTGAAAAATCAGATGATCGACATTCATACGATAAAGATTTGATATCGCAAACAGTTCACCCTCACCTCCTGGAAAAAGTCAAATTTATGTATACAGATGTGTTTTGTACTTCTCACTACTTCGGCTTGCCATAAACACAAGGAAAAGTACTGCACGCATAGAAACGTGGCATTACAAACCCAGCAACGCCTGTAGTAGTCACCTGTTTGGAAGAGATCATCCCTACAGCTAAATGACAACATCTCTGGGGAAAAATACTAATTACACTAATCAGAGTATGAAAAAAAAATAGTGGCGGTTATCACTCTACTGTTGCAAAACATGCTAAATGACATAGAGATCAGAGAAATCTCTCGGGTCCTTATCTAAAAGACTGTCTTAAATGCCACTTTGCCACTATTTTTCCAGCACTAGTTAAGATATTAACTTCGCTAAGAAAATGGTATACTTTATTCTGAATCTTTTTATAAATATGAATTAACTGAATCCCATTCATCCTACGAATTAAGTAGAGAAGCTTTCCTCACACTTTTTGAAAGCACAAATCCCTTCTGACTTACTGGTCTTCACATGGCCAAGAAGGCAGCAGATTAGCTCCTTTGAGTCAGAGAAATAAAAATTAGTTATTACTGTAACAAGCATTAACATCACCCTTCTAGTAGGGTCTGAACTGTCTGTTTGCTAGTCCTGATCCTGCCCCTGACACAGTGAAAGGCTCTGGACATATCAGTTAGCTGCACTGGGCCTCCTTCCTCCTCCATCCTCTGTTACACAAAACACATTTGCAGACTTGGGCAGAATGGAAAGGAGGTCAGGACAAGATTTAACTGGAAAATATTTATAATTGTGATCTACAGATGCAAAATTCTATGGAATATGAACCATTTACAAGTGTACAAACTGAATCAGGAGAATGTGTGATCTATCCATTGCTACACCACAGGTGACACACAAAGTCAAGAACAGAATCCAGCACTTCCAGCTCTAAGTCTCTCAGTCTGTTTGATAAGACATGTTTCCAATGAAATTAATCAAATGCTTAAAAGAATAGGAAAAAAAGTGTTATATTTTGCAGTTGATATACCACAGATCTCAATCCAGCCCAGAACAGGATTGCCATTTTGCTAGACAGTATTTCTATCCTTGATGATTCCAGGTGACTTCCTGGACCTGCATCCTGCTCAAGGATGCTTCTCTCCTCCTCAATCCAGAACTCCTGCTCACAGAGTACTATGAATAAAGACATGTATAATCTCAGTACAAAGGAATAAGTCATATGGGCAGAGCTTTACCTGTTTAGTACAAGAAAAATGACCATACGGAAAACTGGGAAAATTGAAAATTAGCTGCTTCTCATCTAGCACTCACAGACTTGTTTGCCTGAGTTTGCCACTACTTATTCTGATCTTCTTAAGTTATTTTTATCATTTTGTAAGGCACAAAGAAAACCCCAATATAGTTTTTAAAGCTATTATTAATCTCAATATAGCCAAGATATAAAACAAACTACTACTGGCGTTGAGTCAGGTGGGCTCGTGGTGTTATAACACAGCGGCTTCCTTGCAGGACCTCCAGTGCTGCATGCAGAGAGGAATACACGAAAGAGGTAAACAAACCCGCAATTTGAAGCTGGAAGTTTCCAGAATGCTGCAAGCTCCCCCGAACGCGAGGGGAAGCCCCAGCAAAGCAGGGCGGGAGGCGGCGTCCTTACCTGCTTTGCGACCGCGGCTCCCCGGCCCTTGGCCTGCGG